TAGCCTGGTAGCCCTGTGCAAGATCTTGAGGACTCACCATATTGGGGTCACACTAAGTATGAACATTTCATAGACTTTTAGCATACTCTCGAGCGCCAGAGATCCACCAGCCTCAGCCTCCCTGCAGCAAGGATTATTGATGCATGACCAAGCCCTGCCATGACCTTTTCAATTAGACTAAAATGGCCACTTCTAAATCTTTCACAGAGGGATGTATTACTGCAAGGAGCATACTTTGACTACAGAATACTAGGTAGTCTAGAGAACTGGACTGTACTATCAACTCTGTCTCTAACTAGCTATGTGATCTTCAGTCTTATTTCCTTATCAGTAAAAAGGAGGAGTTGGACCAGGTGAGCCTCAAGGTGTCCCTGAGCTCAAACGCTTTCCAGCTATATCTGAATGGCTGCCATTGTTTGATAAGAACACACTCACTCCAACATCACGAACTTTTTTTTTGGAGCATTAATTTCATAAAGAATACATATTTAACCTATTAGATTTATGCTGTCAGGCTCTCCCTGCTATTATGTAATTCCTTTATTTCTTAATGATTCCCTGTCCTATCGCCTCTTGCACCTACTTAAACTGTCCACCCTGAAAACTATCTTTACTGCCACACACAATCTTACAGATGACCTTGACTTCCATTTTACTGAGAAAATGAAGACCATCCAGCATACATTCTCTCTTCAACATCAAAATTTCTGTTTACATCCCTCCTGTCTCTAAGGTAAAGATGGTTCTCCTTATCACTCCAAGGCTAACCTATTCACCTGTGTATTTCATCCCAATTTTCTTCTGTCTCCTCTAAGATCTCACTATAATATAATCCTTTCTTTTTCTTATATCCTCAGTCTTTCCTTCTACCTACAAATATCCACAAATTTCGAAATTCTTTTAAAAAATACTTTCACTTAATTATGCCAAAAGACTACAAAACTGCATATCCTTTGATTCAGCAATACTACTACTAGTTCTGTATTCCAAACAGATAAAAAGAAAGGGAAAAAGACCTATTTGCACAAAAATATTTATAGCAGTTCTTTTTGCAGTGACTAAGAATTGGAAATTGAGGGGATGCCCACCAAGTGAGGAATGGCTGAACAAGCTGTGTCTTACAATTGTAATGGAATATTATTTTGCTATGAGAAATGATGAGCAGAATGATTTCAGAAAAACCTGGAAAGACTTACATGAACTGATGCAAAGTGAAGTAAGCAGAACTAGAACACGGTACACAGTAGCAGCAATAATGACAACTGTGAATGACTTAGCTATTCTTAGCAATACAATGATCCAAGACAATCCCAAAGGACTTGTGATGAAAAATGCTCTCTGTCTCCAGAGAAAGAACTGATGGCATTTGAATACAGATTGAAGCTTTATATTTTTCATTTTCTTTCTTTTTCTTGTTCAAGTTTTCTTCCACAAAAAGAATAACATGAAAACATGTTTTCCACGATAGCACATGTATAACCTTTATCAGATTACTTACCATCTCAGGGAGGGTAAGGATGGTGGAAGGAACGGAATTTGGAACTTAAAACTTAAAAAAAAAAATCCAGAATGTTAAAAATTATTTTCACATGTAATTGAAGTAAAAATGAAATATTATTAAAAAAAAATACCTTCCCCATGACCTTGCTGGTGCTCCCTCAATTTACCTTCCTGTAACTCTTCACCCTTTACTGTTTAATATTCTATGCGATGCATGAAAACCAGGATCATGTCATATCTAAACTTTATAAATAGTTCTAATCAGTGGCTAAGAAGGTACTTACATGTTTACTGAATTGAATTGTAACTTAGTGAACAAATAATCATTACTTGGTGTCATACCAAGGGACTTGTGGCTTTCCAATATAATTTGAATTCCAACCCTATCACTAAACTGAAACTTCTTGTAGATGACCAATGATGTCTTGATAAATACAATGTCTTTTTCTCAGTCCTTTTCCTTCTTGATCAATCTGAAAATTGACATTGACAACTACTCTCTTCTTCTAAATGTGAGGCAATATGTTATAGTAGAGATCTCTTGCCTTATAGCCAAGAGAAACTGAGATATGAATCCAGAGCCTGATACTTAACTACCTGCATGAATGTGAGCCAATTATTCAAGCTTTCTATACCTGTTTCCTTAGCTCTAAAATGAAAGTAATTATACTTGTACTATCTACCTCATAAAGTTGTTGAGTTCAAATCAATTAGCATTCATTAAGTACTTACTATGTAAGTAAGGCACTGTGCAAGCCGCTGGGGATAGAAAGACAAAAATGAAATAATAACTGCTGTCCAAATATTATGTCCAAATATTATATTCTAGTGGGACAACAGGTAAATACAAAATATATACTAATTATTTGGTGACAGGAAAGTTTAACAACTGGAGAGGTCAGGAAAGTCCTAAATGTAGGAGGTGGCACCTGAACTGAGCCCTGAAGGGAGCTTTGGATGCCAACAGGATAAGGAGATAGAGTATTTAAGGCAAGGGAGACAGTGTCAGAAGGCATGAAGACAGGTGATAGAATATCACATACAATGAAAATCAAGTAGACCAGTCTGGTTAGAATACAGAATGCATGAGAGGAAGAACAATGTGAAACAAGCCTGGAAAAGCAAGGTTGAAATGAGACTGTCAGAGTCTGCCAAACAGACAAACTGCTACTTTATTCCAGAAGGAATAGGAAAGGACTTAACTAAATCCGACTTATACCTTAGGAATACCAATCTGTAAGTTCTGTTGGGGACATGTTGGCGAGGTGGGATAGACAGGGAGACAAATTGGGAGGCTAGTTCCATAATCTAAGGGTATGAGGTAATGACAGCCTAACCTATGTGGAAACCATCTGAATTAGCTTAAAACTTGGCAAGTGATTAGATATGGAGGGTGGGGGTATTAAAGGAAAGGGAAGTATCAAGGATGACTTAAGTAACTGAAAAACTCATAGTTTAAAATGCAAGTCAGAAATAAGGGTGAATTTGGGGGAAATGGTGCTATCCTTGGATGTCTCACATAGACACCCTCTTCTCTTTTTTCTCTATGCTATCTGACTTGGTGATCTCATTAGCTCTCATGGATTCAATTGTCATCTCTATGCTGATGATTCTAGTCTCTCATATCCAACTGTCTCTTAGACATTTCAAACTGAATGACCTGGAGATATTCTGAATTAAAAATTTTCAAAACTGAACTCATCTTTCCCTAAAAATGTTCCATTTGGGGCAGCTAGGTGGCTCAGTGGATAGAGTGCTGGCCTTGGAGTCAAGAGGACCTGAGTGCAAATCCAACCTCAGACATTTGATACTAGCTGTGTAACCCTGGGCAAGTTACTTAACCCCATTACCTAGCAAAAATCACAAAAAAAACAAACAAAAAAACCCCTTCCATTCTTTCTAACTTTCCTACTGCTGTCAAGGACAGCAACATCTTCCCAATCAGCTAGGCTCACAACATAGGTGTCACCCTCTTCTTCTCACTCACCCCCTAAATCCAATCTGTTGTCAAAACTATCAATTTTACCTTTGTAATATTACTCAAATGTGTGTCCTTCTCTCCTCTGACATTGCCACCACACTGGTACAGGCCCTCATTACTGCAAGCCTAGACTGCTACAACAGCCTACTATTTTTGGTCAGCCTTCCAGAGGTCTCTCTTCACTCCAGGCTATCTTCTACTCAGGTGTCAAAATTATCTTCCTAAAGAGTAGTTTTCATTATGTTTTCCCCATCCCCACCCCCAAGTTTAGTGGTTCCCTATAGGCTCTAAGACCAAATATAATATCTTCCTGTTTGGCATTTAGAGTCCTTTATAACCTGGTGTCCTCTTGCCTTTCCAGTCTTCTTGTACCTTACACCACCTCCTACCCCCACATACTTTTCAAGCTAGTGATGCTGGCCTCCTTACTTTTCCTTCAACAAGACATTCCATCTCCTAATTCTCAGCATTTTCAATGGTTGGCCCCCTGGCCTGGAATACTCTCCCTCCTAATCTCTATCTCCCGACTTTCCTGGCCACATAAAATCCCACCTTCAACAGGAAGACTTTGGCTATTCTCTATAACTCTGGTGTCTTCCTTCTGAGGATTATTTGCTATTTATTTCATATATGGCTTGTTTTGTACAGAGTTGTTTGCGTGTTGCCTCATCCATCAGATTGTGAGCTTCTTAAGGGCAGAGACTTTCTTTTTTTTGTCTTTGTATTCATAACACTTATGGATACAGATAGTAGGCACTGGCACACAGGTAATTAACAAATGTTTAATGACGATTAGTAAACTACTAATATGCAAATTTTCACTATTATTAAACTGTAAGCTCTTGAAGGACTATATCTTAATTTTTTTTTTAAGATTCATTTTAAAATTTTCAGTTCCAAATGCTCTCCTTCCTGCAGTTCTTCTCTCACCCACCGAGAAGGTAAGCAATATGATGCTCATTACACATGTGAAATCATACAAAATATATTTCCGTATTAGGACTGTATCTTATTAATCTTTATATCTTCCCCAAAGTCTAGTACAATAAATTCCATACAGGAGATGATGAATAAAAGCCTTTTTTAAAAAAAAATGCTTTTTTGAATGAAATTTTCTGATTCAATGAGATAACTGTACTTTGATAAAGGCCATGGGACACTTTCTACATATATACTGTTGATGGAATTACTTTTTAAAAAATTCAAAAGATTTTATTAGTAATTTGTCAATCAGACATACTTGCCAAACCTTATTTCCCCTTAAATGGCATTCCTTCCTACGTAAAGCTGTAGGACCGTAACCAAAAATCCTGAGAACACAAACAAGATACAGGGACTAAGATAAATTTTTTCTTAAGCAGACTCAAAGTACTTTAGGTATCTCAGATAATTATGGACAAAATAATTGGTTCTCAAGAAGTATTTTTAAGGATGACTTTATCTTTAAATTATGTATCATGAGTGTAAAAAACCACAGAATAATCTGCATTGCTATTTAGAAGGCATCTAAAATTGTTACCTTTTGGAGAACATCTAGAGCTGTAAGCACTGCTTCCTGTAAACTTGTCAAAACTGCTTCAGTGTATGATGGAAGGATGAAAGGAGAGGCATCTGAACTGATAGGGACAGAGACAGCACTGTGTAAGATGATACCCAACTTCTGAAGATCATCCATGCTGAAGCCAGTTTTTATATGTTGGTAGAGAGCTGGGAATATCTGAATTAAAGCTGTAAGAAAAGGCTGGCTGGGAATAAAAGTTAGTTTATCACAAGTAAGAGGTGGCTTAGTACTTTCTGATCCAATTCTATACCAGGTATTCCATGCAGCCCACCAGAGATTCAAATCTTCAATCTCATCTGTAACTATAGATGGCTCAGATCCAGGGTATCGTGCAAGTCTTTCTCCAATGGAATCTGTTCTCATAAATGGCCTACTTAGACCAGGAGCAGACATTGGTCCTATAAGGACAGGCACAGGTACATTAACTGCTGGTGGTGTCTCAGGTTTATCAGAATCTCTCATGGGGGAAACAATCTGCAAAATTTCCTGGAAACTTTTCAAAGCAGCCAAAGAAACTTCATTATTTTTGCTGAGTGCAGCTGATTGTATATGATCAAGAAGAACATCCCAAGCTTTAGGAAAATCTCCTATAAAAAAAGGAGAAAAAAAATTAGTTAAAAGGTGATTAACACATGTAACATATTAATCAAAGAGACACTATTAATTTCTTGTTAAAATTACTTTCAGAAACAAAAGTAGATGGGTCAGTTAGGTGGCGCAGTGGATAGAGCTCTGGCCTTGGAGTCAGGAGGACCTGAGCTCAAATCCAGTCTCAGACGCATGACACTTACTAGCTGTGTGATCCTGGGCAAGTCACTTAACCCTGACTGCCTCACCAAAAAGTGCAAAAAAAAAAAAAAAAAAAAAAAAAAGAAACAAAAGTAGATAACTATCGACTAGAGAATGTTGAAACAAGTTGCAAAAATTCTGAGAAGCATGGAAAGACTTAAATGAGCTGATGCAAAATGAAGTAAGCAGAATCAAGAAAGCAATGTATACAATAACTACAACAATGTTAAAGAAAAGAAAAGCAACAAAATAATTTGAATGTAAAGCTGCAAACTTATAAATGATCAATTTGGTCCTAAAAAGATATGACACCTTTCTCCACTTTGCAGAGAGAAGCCCATGAATGTGGAATATTGTACATCGTGCTGATTTTTAATATGTTGGTTAGTTTTGCAGAATTATCTTAAATTTTTTTTTTCTTTTTTAAAATGTTAGTGACAGAGATAGCTCTCTGGGAAGGAATAGAGAGAGATATAGTAAGAAAAAAAATTTTAAACATAAGGAAAAAGTTATTAGAAAATTATACTTAAGTTTTAGTTAAAATTCCATTGTATTTTTCATTACCAGCTTTCAACTTTTAATCATTTGCTACCAACAAGGAACAAAATGCAAAGAAGTAATAAAAGTACACCAATCTATTTTATGAAGAATACAAGATTTTGTCATTAATGTAGGTATTCTATCAAATGGATGACAACCCAACAACTTCACAATCATTTTTCAAGAGTTTCTGTTGCCAGAAAGGTCATCATTGCTAGGTTGGTGCTTAAATAGGAGCCACACATACAGTCCATCATTACTAAAGGAGTATTTGAAGCTTTACTCATTTGAAAAGGCCTACCAGAGATTGTGCTGTGCTGCTTAGCTTTCAATAACCCAACTCACTATGATCAAAAGTGAACCTACTGAAGGATCAGTAGCTTGGCCACAGCATTTCAGAAGCAAAAGTCTGCCAGGTGCTGCAACCCAGAAGCTTGAGTGCTGCAAAGTTCTGAACTTCCAGTACAGGGGAAAATAGGTTCTAAACTACTGGTGCCAAGAAAAACAAGTGCTGAACTGCTGATGCCAGGCCAGAGAATTAAGGACAGAAGGAGTGGGACAAGTCACCAGGAACATGTGGGGACATGGTACATAAGGGGAGATGTGTAGCACTCAACCAAGCCCAAAGTAAAGAGCACAGCATCCAGCTGAAGCCAGTGCTGATGACCCAAAAGTCAGCTGGTGCAGAAATCTAGGCTGATAAACCATGTATTGCCCAGTGTGGCAAGAAGCTGAGACACTCTGAGATTCAGGAAACCACAATCGGAGTGGAGAGAGTAAGGAAGAAAGCAGGAGATAGGGGGAAGACCAAAAATACCAAAGATATTGATAGAATATCTTTGGATAGAAGAAGAGGAAGAAGAAAGCTCAAAGACCTTGAACATATACAGACAAATCAACAGGAAAAATAGTAACAACAGAAGGAGTTATGGCCTCTAGATCTAGTAAACAAGTTTAGACACTTATGCATAAATTCTGCAAAATAAAGTAAAATGATCCAACACTTGATGAGACAGAGGACTCTGGAATATGAGAAGAATGTAGATCCTCAACACACTGTTCCTAAGTGGTTTAAAAGAGAACAGAAATTATGAAAACAGAATTTATGTCCTGTATTACAAAAAGGAGATGAATAGAAAAACTTGAATCTGCAATGGTAAGCCTCACCAAAGAAACAAAAGAGAAAACAATAGATTGGGAATGCAAATACCCAGAGGGGAAGGACAAACTAGAAGAAGAAAAGCAAAAAAGAACATTAAAAGAAAATACACTCATTACATGAGCAAAGTATATAAATCCCACAGATAAGATGCATAGAGATAGCTGGAAGATCATAGGTCTCCCAAAACAACACAACGGGACTAAAAACCTTAATACCATAATAAAGGAAATCATTGAAGAGAACTGCCCAGAACTTCTAAACATAGAAAATGAAATTCCAATCTAAAGAATTCACAGATTATCTCCAGGAAAAAACAAACAAACAAACAAAAAAAACACCTCACCATCAGATTGTGAGCTCCTTGGATTATTTTTTGCCTTTCTTTGCATCCTCCGTGCTTTGTACAGTGTCTGGCACATAGCTAGCATTTAAATACTAGATGACTACTTCAAATGATTGCTGTGAGGATCAAATGAAATAATATTTGCAACTCATTTTGCAAACCTTAAAGTGCTAGCTATTAGTATGGGTTATGTAAGCACTTTCTTATGACTAATGCTTTCATACTTATGTGCAAAACCTGAACCAAGCCCACAGTAATAATATTTGTTTCCTACTACAGGTACACAAGGAGTTTTTCTCTATACATGTGGGGAAGCTTGAGTAGCTGCTCCTGAAAAGAAATGTTTTATACTGCTGGATTTGTTTTTCTTTTTTTTTTTTTTTTTAAGGCAATTGGGGTTAAATGACTTGCCTAGGGTCACACAGCTAGTAAGTGTCAAGTGTTTTGGTCTGAGGCCAGATTTGAACTCAGGTCTTCCTGACTTCAGGGCCGGTGCTCTATCCACTGTGCCACCTAGCTGCCCCTGGATTTTTTTTTTTTTTTTGCTTCATTCACCTTGTGAACCCAACATTTGCCCAATGACCAGATACAAGTAAGGGTACCGTCTATTACCACAGAATACAGCAAAGCTAATTGGCTTAGAATGGAATCAAAACTACGGATGTCATTGGTCCTTTGTTCTTAAAACAAACCAGAAAATCCCATCTCTCATGGCATACAGCACTTCTCTTAAAATAGTAAGAGAATAAAAACTCATTTAAAGGCTCACATTTCTCAATAGATAAAAAGAAGTAAGTTCTCCTCCTCCTTATTCTGTTACAATCAATCAAAAAATTATTTATTAAATATGGTCCTTATGCTACATATAGGTAGGCACTGGTCTCTGACTTCAAGGAGCTTATATTCTACTAGGGCAGAAAGGGGTTATTAATCTGGGCTCTATATTAGCTTGTTTTAAAAAATATATTTTGGTAACTATATTTCAATATAATTAGCTTCCTTTTCAATCCTAAGTATTTTTTTTTCATTTAAAAGCATTTATTCTGAGAAGGGTTCCACAGATTTCACCAGACTGCCAAACTGTTTCATGACACAAAAAAGGTTAAGAACCACTATACAAGGATAATGTGATTATAGATAAATATAGTATACATACCAAAACAATACACAGTGATGGGAGAGAATACAGTAACAACTGAAGGAGGAAGGAAAGAGCTCTCGAAGGAGGGAATACTTGAGCTAATCTTTCATCAATCTAGGGACTCCAAAAAGCAAAAATAAGAAGAGCAGAGCGAGCATGATAGGCTCTACGGAAGCAAAGAGCCTGAAAACAGAATGTTGTGTATGCGAAACATAACAATCTGGAGTGCAGAATGCATGAGGGGAAACATGATTACATGTGTAATCAACTTGGAAAAAGAAGTTGACATGATAGAAAGGATCTAGTCTTGGTGATTCTCCCTCCACAACACATTCCATCATCTTTCCAAGAGCACTGCCACTATCCTAGTTCAGGGCCTTATCAACTAAAGCCTGGATTACTGAAATAGTCTCCTAAATAGACTCCCACGTTCCAATCTCCAATTCTTTTTCCACACAAGTACCAAACTGATATTCTTAAGGTAAAGGTCTAACCATGTCACTTTCTGGGCAAGAAACTCCTGTAGCTTCATTTTGTCTCTACAGGGCAAATGCAAACTACTACTTGGCTTTTGGGGCTCTTTACAATCTTTTTTTTTTTTTTTGACACGCACACAGAATAGTCTTCTTAGGTTGAATTACTGCATTTATTCACTGCAATATAGTTCTACAGATTAATACTTAGCTAAGGTTTATTGTATTTTAAAAGGTTGCTCAGACCAACTTTGGGTCTACTTAAAAGAGAAAGGATTCAAATTTTACTACAAATATCTCAAGAGCCAATCACCACCTCCCCATATAAGTAGCCCTAACAGAACTGCAAATGGGTGAAATTTTTCCTATTTCAAGTGCAAGTTAAATATGAAACAGGAAAAATAGGTCTATAGGTTCCAGGGAGAGTATCTTTGTTTATACAAAAAGGGGGCTCTAGAATCCTGAGGAATCAACACATTCATGTCCTTCAACTAGAGGTTGTGAGCCCATAGGAATTATTTCTTCCTTTCTATCAATGGAAGGTTGATTATTGATCACTTGTAGGCTGCTGGGACCGCTGCAATTGGTGATTGCTTCTGAGATAAGATATTGATACTACTTTATTTCTGGAGAATTCTTGATTCAAAGAAATCCATTTTTCCGATGAGTTTCTGTCCCTACCTCCATTTTCAGGATCCATGCTGCTGACATCTGGGCCAGGTTAGGAAGTAGAAGATCCATGAGTAAACCAGCTACTGAATTTTTACATAAGAATGGGGTGTGCTACTTGGAATGGAATGGGCTGAAATAATCTATCTTCTTTCGTCACCTCTCCATTTTTCAATTTTAATTTACAGTCTGCCATTGCCACTGCCACACAACGGTATTTGATTCCTTCTGTGGTAAAGCCTTTGTGAACAGTAGATCTGGCATCTTTTAGCCCAGCCTGTTGCTCAAAATCTGATCTATTGACTGCTTTGTAATTACAGAGTTCATGACAGCTTTAGGCTTCACTATTGAGTCTCTGCTCAAATGGTCGCTGGAAGCTGAGAGGATGGTAAGAAAGTACAAATTAGCCTCTCCTTATTCAACTTTAGAAAGCTGCTGGCATTTTTAATTTGGGATAAGCAGCATTTTCCACAGACTGGACTACACATCAGAAGGAGTAGCCAATGGTATGGAATTCTTTAGGACATCATCATTATTGAATGCATGAGGTTGCATTATGATAGTGGCAGTAATATTTTGCACAGAAATCCCTAGCAGGCATGTCTGGCTTCCTGGATGACATGAAAAACTGTGATCCAGGTGTCTCTCTAGAGAAGATATCCAGAACTATGATTTCCATGGTAAAAGTCTAGGGAAGTTATGCATACACAACACAAAAAAATAAGCATTTTGCAGCTGATGTTGAACTAGGAAAGAATCCTAAAGAGATCCCATAAAAAGGACTACTAACTATAGAGCTCTGCTGACCCCCCAAGGCAAGGCAGAGCAGAGTGGTGGGAGAGAGGGAACTGTCCACAGCCTCAGGATCCAGTGCAGACATGAGAACTGAGACTCACCAGACGCCAAGAAACAACCAGATCAAGGCATAAGGCAATAAAAATGCTCCAATTTGCTTTTTCAGGCTAACTGCATATTACTCTGTGTTCAAGTCAATCTGGCTTTACCGCTCCTCATATATGACATTTCATCTCCCATCTCTATTCCTTTCCATTAGGTTATTCATCCCTGCATAAAATGCCTTCCCTCCTCACATCCACCTTGTAGAATCCCAGCTTCCTTCAAAACTCAGTTCAAGTACTACTTCCTAAGGTGGTACAAATTTGTACAAAAACTGATATATATATATATATATAAAAATATATATAAAATTATACCTATTTGTACAAAAACATTTATACCAACTCTTTTTTGTGGTGGCTAAGAACGGGAAATTGAAGGGATGTCCATCAATTGGGTAGCTGAACAAGCTGTGGTTTATAACTGTGATGGAATATTATTGTGCTATAAGAAAGGATAAGCAGGATGATTTCAGAAAAACCTGGACTTAGATGAACTGATGCAAAGTGAAGTGAGCAGAAGCAGAACACTGTACACAGCAACAACAATATTATACGATGTAGAACTGTGAATGACTCAGCTATTCTCAGCAATACAATGATCCAAGACAATCCCAAAGGACTCATGATGAAGCATGCTACCTGCCTCCAAAGAACTGATGTTGTCTGAATACAGAACTGAAGTGTACTATTTTTCACCTTTTTTCTATTTTTAAAAATTTTAATCTTCTTATATAAACTGAATAATATGGAAATGTTTTACATGATTATACATGTATAACATATCAAACTGCTTACCATCTTAGGGAAGGGGAGGGAAGGATATAATTTGGCACTCAAACTTTAAAAAAAAAAGTTAAAAATAGTTTGAACATGTAATGGGGGAAAAATGAAGTATCATAAAAAAATATAAATAAATACCACCCCCTATAAGAAACCTATCATGACCTCCAGTTGCTAGTGTTCTCCCCATGAAATTACTCTGCGTATATTTTTCATTTAATTTTTATATAAACATTATTTCCCCCCCAAATAACGTAAGCTCCTTATTGCATTTCATTTTCTACATACACATTATCCCCCCCCTCCAAAAAACATAAACTCTTTAAGTGAAGGGACTGTTTCTTCATTGTCTTGGTAACACCAGTGCTTTGAATTCCTTAAGTGCCAAATAAATGCTTGCCAAATGAATGAGCCAAACACCCACAATTTCACATAAGGCATTAATCAACTAAATAATATAATGACTTTTCCTTCTATTATGAATTGTCACAGAGTTTTTCTGCACTTATTATACATAACATTTTCAAAACATAAATGCTATGATTAAGTATTCTCAAAATAATATCCCATGTGATTCTAACTTTAAAAGTTAAGCAAAAAGTTACATGATTTGGTTTAATGTGCTTGTTGCTAAATGCAATCAATAGTTTTCAAATTTAAAATAATATACCTAAAGGTTGCAATAAATATCTTCTTGTATTGAAGATTCTTGCAACTCCAGCCAATGTTAATACCCATGTCTCAGCCCACTGTTTCTCTGCTGTGTCTCTTGAATGATGAATGAGTATGTTGCCACCGCCTGACTCAATTTTCTCTTTGTCAGCTGTGGTAGAAGCTTCTCGAACTCGGTCCAGTAGATGAAAGAGAACCTAGATTGTATACAAATGACATGTTATATATCAATTATAAATGATGGCAAAGTGGGGCAGCTAAGTGGTAGTACAGTGGATAGAGCACCAGTCCTGGAAACAGGAAAACCTAGGTTCAAATCCAGCCTCAGACACTTGACACCAGCTGTGCGACTCTGGGCTAGTCACTTAACCCCACTGCCTAGCCAAAAAAAATAAAAAAATAAATGATGGCAAAGTTAACTGAGGAAGTGCCACAGAAAAGTTATCATTTTATCTATGGCCAAAAGTAGTTCAGATCATAAATATAATAGCTTACTTTGTGACCTTTCCTCAAAATAACCCCTGAGAGGTAGTCTATTTCCATATTTCTGGTCTTCAACACACTTGTACTTTGGAAAAAAAATAACCTCCAGATAATTTCTCATTCCAGGTAAGACGAATTAGACATAATGCCATAACATGGATTTCACCAAAGAGACTTTCTCTCTTGGAACTGAAGGACTGGGAAATCTCTAGCCTACAAACCAAAACTTGCCAACAGCTTAATTTTTTCTAACTTATGGGACAAGTACTAAATGGCAGCTCTTAAAACACCATATGACTTTAAAAATCTTTAACTTACGTATTCTAAAAATCTATTAGATAAAATAGTTATGTCATGAAAACAAACTATTTTAATCTGTATGAATATTTATTGAATATGAAAATGTAACATGTTCCACTTGCCAAATCAGGAAGTTAATAAACTGAAAAGGAATGAGGGAGAATTACAAGAACCACTCCCTTCCCTCGAGATGCTGCCCTTGGCATTTTCACTGTCCCCTCTCTCTCCTTCCCTTCCACAGAGTGTTACCTAAAGAGCTGGACCTTCAAAGCCTACTTTCTCATCTCGCTCCAACCAGGGCCAGTGAGAGAGAGGGAACTTGGGTAAGAAGGTACTCCCTTGTGCTTGTTCTTCCCTTAATACCACTCCTTTATCAACAGCATTTATTCTCAAGGTCAACAATTTCAGCTTGACTATTTACTCTTGACTCTACTAGAAGATATGGGGTTGAGACAGAAAACAGTTATTCCTGAAGTCCAAAATTGAACATATCTTTCTATGGAAACATTGTTAGGGTGGAGATTAAGTTTTTTTGGAATGATAATTCTAACATATTAGTTGTTAAGTGTATTTCTGTGTGTTATCCAAATATATTATACACTGTTTATACGGGAAAATGTGTTCTTAAGCTAAAATATTTTAGAAAATAACATGTTAATTTGAGGATGTGTGCGTGTGTGTGTGTTTTCATCTGTTGTATTAACTGGGTTCAGTACAATTCAAATATTAAAACAAAATGAAAAACAGAGTGGTATAGTAGAGAGGACTGAAATTGGAAGCACAGAACAAGAGTTCAAATCCTGGGTTTGCTCCTTATGCAACTTCGGACACATACTGGGTTCAAATGAGGGGGTTGGACTAGATGATTTCTTACAGCTCAAGATCTATGAACTTATGAATAGTCCTTGCACTTAAGGAACTTACATTCTCATGTGGGGGGTGGGGGGTGGAATACTACTATGTTTTTTGCTTCTTAATTTTTTAAATGGATGAGTATTTTATATTTTTCTTCTTGAAAAAGAAAATTAAGGTTGTTTCTTTTAACTTATGTCACTGAATTTTTTTTTCCTTTTTGTCAGTGGCTCTTAATTTAAAAAAATTCACTACCACTATATTATCATCAATAATTACTTTTGTTTTGTAATCTCCCCTGTTGTCTTCCAGTATGTGGATCAGGAAAAAAAGGGACAAATAATCCAAAAGGAGGAAGGAATAAGATAGGAAATCAGAAAAACACTATGGTTTGATGTTTTAATATATTCTCTATCTATGAGATAAAAATAATTTCAAATTATTAGGGTGCTATTTTTTTTTATTTTGAAAGGGGAATGAGGAAGTTCCACTATCTTAAAATAACTTAAATTAGTATCACAAAAAGTCCTTTCCCATAGGAACTCCAGACCCCGAGCTCCTTTAGAATACCTTCCATATAACAGTGTGCCACGTTGAGTGCTGCAATAAGGTTCCATGTGCCCCAATGGTAGAAAAAAGAGTCTGCCCTGCACTTTTCCTGACAGCAGGCCGTGGATCCACACATAGTTCACCAAGTTTGGCATAAAGACACAACCACAAACAGTCGAATGGAGGCGCAGGGTGGAAGGGACGGTTTAATACTACTCCTTTCTCTTCTGCTTGCTTCTGCTGTGCTGCCTCTTCTCTGTTCAATTCTTTTTCAATAGTTTCACCTCTTTGGAAAAAATAATCTGAAATGTTCCACTATGAAATAAAACGGAAAAAATAACATTAGTTTATAAATATAACTCAGGTCTTTAGTATATAGTTAAGCTGTTTTGAAATTAATAAAACTACTTCAGAAATGTTTATCTTAAATAGGTTATGAGAGACGGCAGTGAAGCCAAACCCTAGAACATGCTAATTATATACCAATGAAACATGCAAGCTCTAAGAAAACTCTTTTAATATTCAGGTATAACTGACTTCCAATTCCGTAGATTTTTGCAGTTAGACTTATGTTAATACTATGATTTCTGATACATGATTTCACATATGGAAGATCAATTACTTAAAGATTTATATTGGACCAGCACTGCAAAAAGTTAATAAAGTGGGCCCAAAACCAAGTAGGAACAAAAGATTCTGCTAGATAGAATTTGGGAAATTACAGCGTATTTTCAAACATACCAAGCTAAATGAAGACACAAAAGTCAATCTCCTTAATACCAGTATTCTACTAGTGACCTCATAAGGTTATGAAACAGGGAATACCACTATCTTGGAAAACTTCCAAGTATTTAAATACACAAAAAAAGCAACGGAAATGTGGGTTGTGAAATTAAGTAGGATGCAGCTTTTTAACAATATTGATTATACAAGAAATAAAATAAAAGCCATTAATTAAGGCTATGTATATAACAAGTAAAAGACATAAACCAATCATATAGTAAACATAAGGAAAAATAGACAGACAACTGTGGGAAAAAGGGATGTAAAAAAGAATGATGCATTTAGAGTGAAAGCACCTTGGTTTAAATGTTGGTTCTGCTGTCTGTGTGACCTGAGGCAAACACTTAACTTCTATAGATCTCAGTTTCTTCATCTATAAATAAGAAATTAGGCTAATTTTCTGACTCTATACCTAATGCAGTCTTTATGGATGATTCACAATAATGAGTAACTTCTCAATTGTGATATTAATATAGTAAGGAAAGCAGCAAGAGACTTACCAGTAAACCTATTGATGTTAAGCTAATATTAAGCTCTTGATTATGAAGTCCAAAGCTACCTGCAACATCTACAACTATCTGCAGGCAGGTGCAAGGCATTGTTGGTAGAAAATCTGTCACAACCAACTGAAGACACTGGAATGCAGTTCTTATTAAAGACTCTCTGGGAATATGAGAAGTTAAGAAATATGGATTTGTAGGTACAAGTTGGCACATTTCACAACTATAACATTATTAATCACAACTAATTTCATATCTACAACATTTTAAAGAAATGTGATATTCATGAAAATACCTCTATTTTACGATAAAACAAATTATGATGAAATCATTCTTTCTCCATAAACTTATCTTCAAAACATATTTCCTAAACAATATTCAAGATGTTACAAATAAGTGTAATAATGCTTCAATATTTTTTGCAGACTTCAAATAACAGATAATTTATTTTGCTTTTGTTTAAAAAAAAAAAAGCAACTTTAAGAAAATGTTAGGATCCTACAGTAGTGCTTTTAATCAATGAGAGACAACATGCTACTACCATACTGTTTTCAGTAGTTTCCATCAGTTCTCTAAACAGTTAGGATTTTACATGAAAAGTATACTACAGATTAATAAGAAATAAGGCCCTCATACCACATTTGTTAAAATTTCCATTGCAATATGAAACCCTACTTTCAAGCTGAAGGAAGTTACAAAATTCCCAAATACAGAAAATACGTGGCATTTCTGAGAAGAGGGTGTGAAGGACAGAAGTTGTAGAGGTGGAAAAAGAAAACCTTCCACTTGGTTAGTGACAACAAAGGACAGATGAAATTATTAACTTGCAAAATGTTCTTAGTAAATTCTTTTTTGTAATTTCTTAATGTTATATGTGTATAGACTGCTGACTCACCTTATGCATAGGACAGTTGGGGGGTCATATCTCCAAACTCTGTGATAATCTAAACTACCATAGCTGGCTGAGTTCATCACAAAGTAAGATTATAATACATTGTTTCATAATTATCAGACTGTTTCATAATTGCCAACATAGAGCTTTTACTTAACAATGTCCAATAAATAATAAGATGGAATCAAGGGCACAAATAGAGGCGTTACTGTTGGCCAAGTGAGGAGTCTGGTCACTGTCCCTGATGACAGCAAAGGGGAAGTTGGCGAATGAATGATACTATGACGATCTGCAATATCTGCACAAGGAAGAGAGGGGTCTCACTATGGATGGTGTCAATTGCTTTCAGTTCAATCATGAAGTGAGGCTCTCTATTTTAGAGGCAGTTGGAGATATAGTTGTCTGGGGTATGTGTGTGTGTGGGGCAATAGTAAGGGCTAGTTGAGATTTAATAATAGATCTGTAGTGGACTTGGTCAGCATGATTGTATGACTTTCTCTATGCTACACTGAGTAGCAAGAAGGCACAGAAGAAGTCAGATAAGATTTAGAAAGGCATAAATATCAAATACACAATGGGAAAAGGCTATTTAAAAGGCTATTTAAAGTAAAAAAAATACTTTAAACTGGCTACTTAACTCTCAAAGATGAAGATTTTAAAGTGAAGATAGTAAAGCCATAGAGAATGGATCGATGGCCTAGTAAAGCAGGGATGGGTAGAGTGACAGGGCATTGTGGTAAGGAAAGGGAACCCGGAAAGATTACAATCAGATAGTAAGTGGGGATGTACCAGTCCTAGCTCTGACCCACTCAAAAGAACTGATCATTCCATCTTCAGCACAAGAACTTACACCTCAGAAATAAACAGACAGTACAAATAAGGGTATGATTTGCTTTTTGTTGATTGCCTGGACTTAAGAAAGTGATGAAGAAAATGTAACATAGATTAAATTTAAAGGTGTGACTTTTTTTTTCCTTTATGAGAGTCAGCTGTTTATTATTTACTAATACACTACTGTATATAGTAGAGTTATGGGTAGTATATGTGGAACATTTGTGTGAGATCTTAAAATCAAGAGTATGACCAACCCTATATGTGATTGAGCTGGACTGAAAGTCATTGGTGTTGAACACTGCTCAAATGGGGAAAATGTTTTTCAGACCAGTCTTGTAAACATTTTAAACGCCACCAAAATTGACGTGAAAAAGAGATCAAGGAGCTATAAGAAAGAGAGAGGGAAAGGTCCAATGCTCAGTTGATCCCTCTTTCACCAAAGAGTTTTACTTCTCACTTACTAATTTGTGGAAAAGTTCACTTCATTTTATTTGAGAATTTGCTACTGGGGAGCTGGGCTCTCTAATCAGCTTCATATATAGGTTCTACAGAATGGGAATATAATTAAATTCATGAAGCGCCTACCATGTGCAAGTCACCTTGGAGGCACAGGGAACACAAAGAAAAAAATGAAACGTAGTTCCTGTCTTTAAGGATTTTACATTCTACTCAGAATTTTTGCTGGTGATTTTGCAAAATGTTCATTTAGACAAAATTCCATTATAACATAATTTGGATGTCCTATGGAACATATGTTTATCAAACTGTATTGGGGTAAAATTAATTTACAAATAAGAATTGCTAAGTAAAAAAGTAACATGAAGATAAGACAGGGTGAAAGAAATAACGACCCATTCCCCCCCTTAAATAAAGGGAAAGTAAGGAAGTCCATGTAGTGACAGGAGAGAACAGGACTTGGGAAATGCCTGATTTAAGCAAAGTTCCAGGCTCTACCTTTCCTTAACCACATAAAAATGAGCAACACACACTATGAAAATAAATTCTAGCCCTGACAACAAAAATCTACCAAATCAAGCACAAAATAAATTTGAAAAGTGGAGCACCACTATGTTTCACTAATTAAAGACACTATTGCTAAATATAAATAGCAAAGCATTATTTTTTTTTAAATTAGACCTTATGATGCTTCTTGAAATTAAAAATGCTCCATTGACAGTGAGACTAAACGAGAGACTTAAAATTATCTTTTGACAGATTCAAGGCAGGAAACCATACTCATGCTCAATTTAATGAACAAGTAATATTTATATTAACTTTTAGATGTTTACTTCAACTACTTACCCTTGATCATTTCTGATTGCTCCCATAACCCCAAGCACTAATGGCCATCCAGGCCCAAGACTGTCTCCCTGACTCTGCAGAATCTGTAATACACATTCCAACTGCTTGAGTCTTATGTCAGGGTGGATAATACTGGATAACTCCTTCAAGGGATTCAATAAAAGCAACTGTAACCTCTAAAAGGAAAAAAAAATTAGCAAAAGAAACCAAAGGGGTATTTTTTTTAAAATATGAAAAAAAAAGACTAACATGGTAAACAGATATTTAAAAAAAAAAAAGAAAAATTCCACACATATTTACATAAAGTAGTAAATTATATGAATAACAATAGGTTCCCTTGACCCAGAATGTCTGCATAAGAGAACATTCTGGTCAATAATCTAAAGAAAACTTCCATATAAAGATCACTAATTATGTACTGCCCTAATTTTTCCTTTGTACTTGGCCATTCTTACATTTGTATTATGGTAATTTTTGTACCTCTCTTTCCTTCCTCCCCTATGAGATGGTAAGCTCTGTGTTAGAACTATCTTTGGGTCTCTACAATGTAACTTACACAAATGTGCATTAAAAAAGAATGATAAACATTTTTTAAAACCTGCTACAAAACTATATTAAAATAAATACTAATTAACATAAGAAAAATCTTTTGTAATTCAGATAGCACTTTAATACCTTTCAGTGTTTTAGAACAATCAATATGAACATCAATTTATATCTATAAATATATTTTAAAATCTCTATCAATGGAAAAAGCGTAGACTGATTTTATTCCGACGCTGTTACTCGAAGATGCTTTTTTGAATAAAACTCTAATATTAATGAGTCATTTGTTTCTTTCCAAAAGAAGAAGAAACCAGGAAAAAATGGTGGTTATTTAAAATTTTCTACTTCACAAGATCAGAAATTTTAGCCTGGAAAGTAGATGGGGAGGTCAACTGTGCACTGGACTTGAAGTCAGCAAAACCTAGGTTCAAATACCACTTATATGACACTGAGCATTAGACAAATAAACAGACAGACAGATACAGAGATCTATATAATATTGGGGAGAAAGAAGAAAACAGCCTATTCTCAAAATCATTCCTTACTTATGTTTTTGGGTGTGTGTATGCGTGTGTGTGTGTGTGTGTGTGTGTGTGTGTATGTATACACAATAAATACACATACACACATAAATAAAATGCTATATGCTAGAAAGTAATTTAGAGAAATAAATTACATACTGCCACATTTTTTAAAAGATCTTATTATTACTAGAAAAAGGTGACCAAACTAGATGGCAACACCTACTAATATCTTTGACTACTTTCTTATCTCTTTTAAATTTTTAAGAGGAAAAAAACCTTACACATATGTTGTTTGATGAAGTTATAAGAAGAAAACAAGCAGGCTTTTACAAATGATATTTTAGAGTAGATGATATCTCTACTACATATACCAGATAAAGCACTTCAGAAGAAGGATTTCGTATCTTGAATTTTACCCATTTTCTGAACTGATAAAATAATTATAACTGGAACAAGGTCATCCTTTACTTCACATTTGTCTCCCCAAATTACCTGATTTTGTGAAAGTGGTGGATCATGGTTAAATGTTAAGCCTGCTTTAATAAGTGAAGTTAAGGCTTCTGCTCCCCATTCTCTCATTCGGGAGTTTGGATGCTGACAAACCTGAAGATATAATACATTAAAATTCAAACATCCATCTTCTGAACTATTAATAAAAACATGTCCATTCAAAATCAAAAGTTAATCTATGAAAAAATCATTTTACATATCCTGGCAAGTCACATTTTTAAAACTATAGTCCAATGATCTTAAATGAGGTAGGAAAAGAAAATTAAGCAAAAATTCTGACAATAAGCTTATTAATAATAAATTTAAAAAATACATATACCTATAGGTAAACTTACCTTCTGTACAAGAGGACAAGAGGAAGCAATAGAAAGAAAGAGACAGGAGGAAAAAAGATGAAAACTAAGACAAAAGTCGCTGGAAAAAATATAGGATTAAATCAGAGAAAATCAACATGAAATCTGAATAAGCTACTAAAATCCATTCTACTTTCAAAATAAACTTGTATAGGGAAAATGTGTTCTTCATAATATGCTCTCAGTAAGTTCTGTAAAAATTTACACTTAAAATCCAGTAAATTCTATCTCCAGTCATCCTTTTTTAATAGATATCTTCCTTTGAAAAATGTATGCAGAAACTGAGTAATTAGGATTTCTTATGATAAAATTCATTAAAAAAAAAGTAATTCTAATTAATGTCTCTAATGTCTCAGGTCTTCTAACTCTAAGTTCAAAACTCTATGCATTCATTCAATTGTGTAACTGCTTTGCTTGTAGCAACAAGAACCCAAGACAGGGAAAAAAAATAATCAAATGTTAACATTGTGTTTTCAAGATGGCTACTCTTGCATATAACAGACAGCTAGGTGGCACAGTAGATAGAGTGCTGGGCTTAGAGTCAGAAAGAGCAGAGTTCAAATCCAGCCTCAGACACTTACTAGCTGTGACCCTGAGCAAATCACTTAACCCTGTCTGCCTCAGTTCCTCATCTGTAAAATGAGCTGAAGAGGGAAATGGCAAACCATTCCAATATCTTTCCCAAGAAAACCCCAAACAAAGAGTTGGACACAATGGAAAAATGACTAAACGATAAAAATATTCTTACATATTAGATAGCAATTGAGGGGATGTGTTTCTTTATTTTAGTGACAGAGGAAAAAAGGTCTCTCAAAATTCTTTATCAAAAACAGAACAGTATATCTTAGGGAAACAGGTTACCTCAAGAAGATGGCCAGTTAAAGGTCTCCATAAAATTTCTATTCTGTGCATGTTAACAAGTCCTGTTTCTAGTAACTTGGCAACTGCAAAAAGAGATGGTTCCTAGGTAGAAAAAATGAGTTACATTTTGATACTGCAAAGAAAATCTTTAGTACTTAGAACTGTCATTAACATCAAACTACACAAGGTACAAAAGGTTACCAAGCAATTTAAAACAGTGAAATTCAATAAGCATTTATTAAGCACCTGATATGAGCCAGGAACTATGCTCATGTATACAGTTAAGGAAAAAAAAAAAAAAAACCAACTCATGGTTATCTGGAGAATACCAGTCTTCTGGTATCTTTGAACAATGAAAAGGCTACAAATCTCAAAGTAGGTTTAAAAGGGAGGAGTGGGGGGTGAGGGAAGATGGGTAGTGGCCAAGCAGCACCTTTCAATAATGAAGTAGCCAAGGAAGAGAGAAGTATCACTCCCAACATGTTTTGATTGGTCATTTCTCAAAAGGAAAGTAGTGCTGTGAATGACCATGGCTATTGAGTATGTTTTCCTCCTTTTTATTTCATAAAAAGCCAAAAGTACACAAAAAGCAACAGAAATGTGAAATGGAAGGGCAAGGAGAAGAGAAGGGGGAAGAGAATGGTAGCGATTACAAGGTAAAGCAGCACAGAATGAGTAGCAACCACACTGACAACAGGAGAAATAAGAAGAGGCAAGAAAAGGCCATCTGACTCCAGAGGTGCCTAAGGACAGCACTGGTGGCTTGTCAGCCAGTATTCACAAAAGTAGGCATCACTGTATTTTGAGTAAGAAGAAACCATAGAGATCATATCCACTAATTTGACAAATAAAGTAACCTAAGCCCTCAGGTAAATGACTTACCATCAATCTTGCAGACACTAAGGCTGAGTCAGGATTTAAAACTAAGCTTCTGCTTCCAAAGCAAGTGGCACTTGACAAACTAGCCACAATAGGTAATGAGTATCATTATCTCATAACATAACCCCATCTCTTCCTGTGCCTTCCTTCTCTTACACCTTCTCCTGCTCATGCATACCTCTGATTGCTCCTTCCTTCAGTATTCTCCCAAGCCATCAACCTCGCTTTAACTTTTCATCCCTTCCCTATCTCAACCATCTAGGCAACTAGCTCATCTCTACATCATCATCTGCTCTAGAAGCCCCTTCCTCCTCCCCACCTCCTTCGATGTTTACATCTTGCCAAACCCCAACCCTCTATTAATCCCACCAGCTGCCATCTCAGTTCCTATTATTAGAGGCTGCTAGTAAGGTGGCCCAGGGAACAGAGTGCTGGGCCTAGAATCAGGAAGATAAGTTCAAATCAGACCTCAGACAGGTATTAGCTGAGTGATCCTGGGCAAGTCACTTAACCTCTGCCTCAGTTTCCTCAACTGTTAAAAAAAAGGGAGATAATAGCACCTACCTCACAGTGTGGCTGTGAAGATTAAATGAGGTAACATTTGTAAAGCCCAGTGCCTGGTACATAACTGGCACTTAATAAATGCTTTTTTCCTTTTCTACTCACATGCTGCTAAAGAGAACTACAGGAAATTATACAACTGAGTCAACTAAAAATTTAGGTTATTTAATCTCAGCTGGGTCCTCACCACAGTAAGGTAATCCTTTCCCTCCTCCCTGACTCCCTATCCTACTAACTAGAGGCTATTCCAAACCTCTTTTCAAGCCCCCCATTCCCAACCCATCTCCCCATTTCCTCTCAGCTAAGGACCACACCTCATTCTTTGCTGAGAAAATATAATAACTAGCTAGAGTTTATATAGAATTTTAAGGTTTGCAAAGCATATGACAAATATTCTCTTATTTTATCCTCAGGCCCTGGGGAGGCAGGTGCTATTATGATCTCCATTTTACAGATGAGGAACATGAGACAGAGTAGTTAAGTAACTTGCCCAGGGTCAACAAGCTAGTAAGTGTTTGAGGTAGGTTTGAACTCATGTCTTCCTGACTCCAAGCCCAGCACTCTATCCATTGCACCATCTACTCACCCAACTGAAGAAGAAATCATTTGTTGTGAGCTCCCTTTTCCCCACATCTCAGCAACTCATGATATCAACCCTCATTCTTCCTCCTTCACTCTAGTACTTGATGATAGGGAACTTTTTTCTTTGCGAAGTCCAACCCCTCTATAAGCACACTTGATCTCATCTCCTCTAAAAACTTGTTCCCACAATTATCTTCTCCCTTTAATCTTCCTGCCTATCAAATGGTTACTTTCTTCAAATATCTTTCCCCCAAATTTTCCTGTGCTTAAGAAATCCTCATATGATCCTACCATCCACCAAAGCCACCGTCCTACATCTCTCTTCCCTTTCACAGCCAAACTTCCTTAAAAAGCTGTCTATTCTCACTGCCTCTAGTTTCTCCTTACTTGGTTCATGACTTCACCACTCAAATGAAACTGCTCTCTCTAAAGTTACTAGTGATCTGAAGGTTTTTCTCAATCTTCATCCTTAACCTCTCTGCGGGATTTGAAATAGTTAATTAAGCACCCTCTCTTTCTGCAAACTCTCCTCTCTGGGCATTGATGAGATTGCTTTCTTCTTGGTTTTGCTCCTACCTCTATGACGACTACATCTCCATCCCTTTGTTTTTTGATCATCCGTATTATGACCCTTTCCTAGGGTCATCCCCAACACTCTGCTCTGGTCCTCTCTATTCTCTTTCTATATTCTTTCACTCAGTAACTTCAGCAGTTCCCATTTCTATGCAGACTAGTTTCAAATCTAGTATAGCCCCAGTCTTTCTCCTAAACTCCAATCACACTTCTGCAGCTACTTACTGACTCTTCAACTGGATGCCCTGTAAGTCATCTCAAACTCAAACGTGTACAAAATATAATTCATTCTCTTTCCCTCAAACCACTTCGACTTCTCATCCCCAAACTTCCCTATTTCTCCCAAGAGCATCACTATCCTTCAAGTCATCCAGGTTTCCAACATAGGCATTGTCCTTAACTCCTCACTCTCCTTTACCCCTCAGATTACGTATCTAATAAGTCAGCAAATCATGTCATTTCTATCACAATTTTCACCTTCATCCCTTTCTCTCTATTCATATCACCAAACACATATTACCACTCTAGCTCAGAATGTCATCATGACTCACCTGAACTACTGCAGTAGCTTCTAATTGGTTTCCCTACACATCACTGCCAAAATTATTTTTCTAAAGTTCAGGAATGACCACAGCACACCATTACTCAAACTCCAACGGTTCTCTTTTCCCACTAGGATCTAATATAAACTCTTTTGTTTAGCGTTTAAAGCCCTTCACAATCTAGCTCCAATCTACCTTTCACCCTTTTCAAACATTACTCTCCTTCAAGGACTCTCCAATCCTGTCAGATTGGCCTGCTAGCTGGTCCTCTTATATAACCTGCCGCTCCTAGGTCTGGGACTCTCCCTTGGCTGTTCTCCTCACCTGAACTACATTGAATTATATTTTCTCCTCAGTTTCTTAGCATTCCTTTATTACAACAAAACTCTTCTCAATCCCCCAAAACAATGCTGTGACTTTAACAATATAAAGGTAAAGAACAAGCAAAAAACAACAGACACGAAGGCTGCAAAATTACAAAGAACAAACATGGCCCGAAAGAAGAGATTTAAGAAGGCAGCTCTCCCTCTCTCCTCCTTCTTTACAGGGCAGGAAGGTATTGAACAGTGCATATTTCCAGATTTTTTCCACATATTGATCAGTTTCGCTGATTTTTTTGCCTTAAATTTTTTTTTTTTTTGTTATATAGGATGACTAGAGAGAGCAGGGTAGAGAATAAGGCAATATAAAAACAAAAGTTATTAAAGAAAAACTTTTTAAAAAAAAAATTTTGCTCAAGCTACACCTTTTAAATGAAGCTTTTCCCAATTCCCACTGCTCCTGTTGCCACCCAGTACCTATAAAGAAATTTACCTTGCATTTATTTTATATATTTTAAAAAATATATTTGTTTACATTCTGGCTGCACCTTGATTAACTAGAAGTGCTGTGAAGAAAGGGACAGTTTCATTCTTGTGCTTATATATTCAGAACCTAACACTATTGCTGGCACAGGGTAGAAGCTTCATACATACTTGTTTATTTATCTCATTTGAGCTTTACAACAATCCTGAGATGTACAACAGGTATTCTTGTATTTCTGTACATGAGTGACCTGACATTCAGAGGTGAAGTGGATTGCCAGTGATCTGAGAGTTAGCTAGTGTCAAAAGTCAAAAGTCCAAAAATGGTCCTTCTGACTTTAAGTCAAGCATACTATATTCACTACAATGCTGCCTCTCTGACATACAAAACATGTACCACAGTTGACCAAAAGATTAGTTTTAATCCTGCCCCCTAAAAACTAGATCCTAAAGGAGCTCCACTCTATTTTTTACTGAGCAATCTGTAATATTTAAGATATAAAGGTAAAATGTTGTACCTTATTATTTCCATAGGCCATATCCATTGCTTCTAAAGATAAGGAGCAAAGGGCATTTATTAAATGATGTAATGATACATCATCAAGATACCTAAAAAAATTTAAAAAAATTGTTAAGACATTTGATCTATAAAATGTAGCTGAAGTTAATTGTTCTATGAAAAAGTTATTTCTTACTGTGAGCTTTCAAACAATCTTGAAAGTATGTTGGAAATTACAGGCAAATCAGTCATAACTGCTGTAGTTAGAACCTAAGAAAAAGATAAAATTAAATGTGACACAAAAAAGTTCTGAGCAGTTATTCAATCAAGAATAACGATGATTCATGCTTACTGTACTGGGTCCTTCCACAGCTCTCCCAGGTTTTAAGGCACCCCCACTACCAGGTTTCAGTCCCAGAATCCACACAAGATGCTGTAATGGAGAAAGAAAGGGACATTTCAAACTAATGCAAGTAAAAATAAAAGTTTTTAAATGATAGCAATACACAAAGTATATCGGTGGCACCACTACTGACATCATTAAATGTTTACCCTAAAGGCTAGGTGATGATACTGCCATCACATTCATTAGAATAAGGCCATTAAGAGTGACATTCTAGCACACCATTCCTCTCATTCTCTACTCTGTGTTCTCTCTCATTCTTCAGTTCCTTTCTTTTGTCCTGTCTTCTACTGTCTATGCACGAGGAAGAAAGCACAGGGTGACATTGGCTCACAGATCCTGCCTGGTTCCGAGAGTAGTCCTAACTGCTGTATATGAAACCAGCCCCCTCTGGTCCAGATTTTGAAACCATACCTGCAGAGTTGCTAAGACAAGTTGCCAAGATGTCCCAAGAACAGCTCCATGGCAGTGCGCCAAGTTAAGTAAAGTCCTCATACACTGGATATTTTTTGAAGTCAGCTAAACATTTAAAAAGAAAAGAAAATGTTACATATTTTTTATTTAAGGGTAGAAAAAAGTAACAATATTCATATTAAAAAAAAATAAACAAGTGGTTTGGACAACTTTAAATACAATGAAGAATTATATTAAAGTCAAGTTCCTCAAATCACAAACTACTCTCATGCAAGAAATTAGATCATATACGCGAATTGTATAGTTCACCATCTCCCTATATAAATTACTTAGGCTAAAAAAGGTAAAATTTTAATATATGTCCAGAGAAAATTCAAAAGATTTCCTTGTTAATGTGCTAGCCACGAATAAGTAAGGGCATCTCCTTTACCATTACTGTCCCCTGAGGCTGGACTGCTAGAGGCTGACCAACTGCTACAACTTGCTGATGAGACTCACTTGATGGGCTGATCATCTGAACATTCTGTCCCTGAATGGAATATGCTGGGAACAAAGGAAAGATCTAATAATTAAAATATACAGAATGTTTATCTAAAAATCAGTTTTTAAAAATATCAAATTATAAGCATAATTGCATTTATTATTGTACAATGTGGAGTAAGGAAATTATATACATTTTAAAGACTGTAAAAAAGTTAATAAATGATAAAGAGAAAAAAAATTTCCTATACTACTGAAAATGCGGGTAGATATTTTCAAGAAGAAAACAAAGTTAAAGGATGAACTTTTCAAGTGATGGAGTCCTAAGTAGTTTAGTTAATATTTTTAGTCAGAAAACTATCACACTGAGATATATATCATGTTAGAATGACAGATGGGTATATGCAAAACAAAAATATTTTTAGATAAGTCAGTTTTATTCAAATTAATGTGATAACAAAATGTTATCACTGTATTAGTTTCTGATACAAATAGAGGAATAAAATGGAAACTAAATTTCAAGTCTTACATTTGCTAGAAAGTGTAGCTGCAGTTGTCGTGTTCAATACTGTAAGAGCATAATGCGGAGGCAAGGAGCCTTTGCAAATGGCAGTAATAAAAGCGTCTCTTGAAGTTACAAGGCCTAGTCTCCCACAGAGAGCAGCCATTGTCAGCTCAGCTTTTAAAATATTTTCAGTGGCAGCTTCATCTGTGCTGGAGAGAGAATAAGCTATTTAGGACTTCCTGACTAATTGGTGAAAAAGATAGTAAGACGCAGCCCCCCAAAATTCTAAAAAAAAAAAAAAATTTTGGTATACAAAATATTTTCAAAATCCAAATAATTGGAAAGCAATCTTAATTTATTCATATAACTCTTGGAATATTGAATTTATTATTATAGTATTCTACAAATATGAGTAACAGTATAAGCAATACACAGATCATATGTAAATATAAAATTAAACTTTTTAAGGATTAAAAAAGATTTAGAAAATACTTTTCCAAAGAGGCAATTTTATAGCCTTTTAAATATATTAATAAAAGTTAGGTTGATGGTATGTGCTTAATTAATCTTGCAATCTCATTAAAAAGTTAATAATGAGCTAGAACTAGGCCTTTTTTGTTATTAATATTTTGTTTTCTACTAAGCAAGTAAAAAAGCATGGCAATCATTACTTTTCATTATAAGGCAATAGTTCTAAAGCAATCATTACTAATACAAACTATAAAGCAAAGAAGTACAAACACTGAATACCTGGCATCAAGAAGAAGTGACAATGCAGCAAGAAGGCCACACCAGCAGGCATTCACCATTTCTTCCCACACAGCTCTGCTAACTTAAAGGAAAAAAGATCTCACAGTACTTACTAGATAGTAAAAATGTTAAATGTTTCACCAACAATTCAATTTTGAAAAAAACATTTCGTTCTTTGAAAATATGGCTGAATTATCTTTAAACACTGACAGTGACATAGTTAATTTCAAACAAGTGATTCTTAAGCCTAGCTGTTTTTTAAGTGATTTGGGTGCAAGAAAGGCTTCCCCTAGCTATACGAATGATCTCATTTTACACTTTAGATAAGTATCACATTTTATACCTGTTTCCTTATCCATCTGATCAGATGCAGATTGAAAATCTTGTTGTTCTGATGATTGTGCTGGTGAAGAAGCTGTTTCAGTGGTAGCCTGACTCTCTGTTTCCACCTGTCCTAACTCTCCTTCAATCATAGTAGTGATGCCACGTACAAGGTCCAGCAAACAGTGGAATGCCACAGACATGGCATACCCTTCAGGAATAGTTGGAGGTTCCACTTTATCCAGCATCTCAAGGCTGAAATTATCAAGAAATCACAGCATTAATAAGCAAACAGTAAAGATGAAAGTAACAAAAAAACAAAAACAGAAACAACTCTGACATTTATATGAATGTTTAAGGTTTACAAAAAAGCACTGACATGAGTCATTGTATTTAATAATTCTCAAAGAGGGCATTACAGGTAATCTGTAAAACACAGCATAGTAGTTTTAAAGTTGAAAGGAACCTTAGAAGTCATCTAGCTCAACCCTCTTATTTCAGAAATAAGGACACTGAGGCCAAAACAGATTAAGTAATTTGCCTGAGGTCAATAAGAAACCAAAGAACCAGGACTTGACACCTGCACTTATAAAAACAAAACTGCGACACTTTACACTACACTGCAGCTATTTCTAAAAGGGAAAAGTAAATTAATTTTTCTTAATGATGAACTAAATTCTACTTGTACAAATGGGAATACTAAGGCTTAATTTCCTATTTCCTCAATAAGCTGCCCTCTTCCTTTCCGCAGGAAAAAAAGAACAGGCCAACTGCTACATTTGTGACTGGTAATAAATTTGCGGAAAAAAATAATAACCTTCTAATACTTTCAAGTATGGAATGTGCCCTATCAAGATTATAAAACGTTTTGGCAATGGCCTATATGCTTTAATCATGAAAACATACAAAACGAAAACTCTCACCCAAAGTGGAAGAGCAACCACGAGACAACTTCCCAGATCCTAGCTGCCTCAAGGTGAGGATAAACTCTGGTGGCTCCTTATTACCTCCAGGATCAAATATAAATTCCTGTTTATTACTGAAAGCCTTACCAACCTCGCCCCTTCCTATTTTTCCAGTCTGGAAAGATGAGCAACTAACTAGGAGTACAGTGGAAACAGCACTGGACCTGCAATCAGGAAGACTTGAGGTCACACACTTACTTGCTTATGTGACCCTGAGCAACTCACTTAACCTCTCTCCGCCTCAGTTTCCTCAACTGTAAAATGGGAATAATAATAGCACCTACTTCACAGAGTTGTTGTGAGGCTCAAATGAGACATCTGTAAAGTACTACCTGGCATATAGTAGGTGCTTAATAAATGCTTGTTCCCTTCCCCCTTTCCATTTCTCACTTCCTTCCAAGTACTCTATGATACAACCATAGTAGCCTACTTGCTGTTCCTCATATAATCTATCTCTCAATTCCATACATTTGTACTGGTTGTCCCTTGTGCTTGGAATGCTCTCCCTCCACTTCTTAGCATTCCTGGCTTGTGTGTACGTACACACACACCTCCTCTAAGATAACTTTCCATTTTCATTTTATGTACATAATTATTTGGACGTTGTCTCCCCCATTGCAGTGAGAGCTTCAGGAACGATATTTTTACCTTTCTCTGTATCCCTAACATTAACTACTAGGCAAAAATGTCCAGAAACAAAGACATATGGATTTAGGTATATTCCTACAGGGTGTCTTGGAGTCACAGTTAATTTTGTCAAAACAATTTTTTTCTATATCCAAAGCAAGTATTCACTTTAGTGCTCATTTAAGAACTCACTGAAATGGCAGACTTTTTAAAATATACTTATGTGGTATGCTTTCAAAAGAAGTAGTGAAAAAATATTTTTAACTGCATATAAGTTGGAAGAAAAACACAACTGGCAGACACAATTATGATCATTGTAATCTAGGTATAAAGGTCAATATTACTTTGCTACCAATGCTTTCGGATAAAATAAAGAAGGCACAGATGAATGTCATGATTATCAAATCTGCAAATGACCATGAAGAGCCATCAAGCTAGAATGAGCTTAAACTAATAAGATGAAACTTAACAGAGATAAATACCACACTAGGGCTCAAAAATTTAACTGAAAATGTAGGATGTGTGGTTAGACAACAGCTGAAGTAAAAAAAAAAATATCTACAAACCCTGAGAACAGATAGTAAAAGATAAATCTTCCCTCACAGAAGAGGGGTGGGTAGTCAATGCATCACAGGTTTTTTTTTTTATCACAGGTTTTTTTTCTTAATTGTTTTACTTTTTCCCAAGTGAGGGTTAAGACAGGGTGTAAGAATGGGGTGAAAATGACTGTGACATAAAGGAGTTCAAAAATAAATGGACTGATTCAGTAGGTAGTAGGGTCTGAAGTCTTCAAGTAGAAGTTGAACAATTACTTGTTGGAGATACCGTAGAAGGGATTCCTGCTCAGGTAGAGGAAGGACAAGATGATCTTTAAGGTCCTTTTAATAACTTTGAGATTGTGGTTTTTCTGTAACAAAACAATAAACTATGATAATAATGACCTATAATTTTTTTTTAAGAATTTACTTATGATGTATTCACATAAAGATGTACTATATGATCTGGTCCTTTTGTAAAGATAAACTTCAAATGAGATGAGGAAATACACCACCTCCTTTTGTTGGAAAGGTGAGGAACTATATGTGTGGAATGTTGCATAAAATTACTGGTTGATTTTATCCAGATATTTTTCCCCTTTTGATACAAAGAAAGGTTTATACATTGGATTGGGGAAGAGTGATTAAAAAATGACTACTATTAAAAAGACATCAATAAAAATCTATATATGTGGGTACAAGTTTATGTATATGTCATATTCATATACATACACATTAACTTGTTTTTTAAAATTCCAAGGTAAACTTTGAAAAAAAAATGCATAATTCACTTCTCTCAGACAGAATACCTGAGGCCAAAACTTCGAGCCAGTTACTCAATATCTCAGTCTCACTTTTCTTAACTATAAAACAAGGAAGTTGAACTGAACTGTGTCAATGGGTCCTTACAGCTCTGAAGGTCTCTAACTCATCTCTGACCTTCTGTTCCATTACATACAGATGAGCGAAAACTAGCAACCTGTGAAGCTACAAATATTCATCCAACAAGATATTAAGTGATCTTCTATTACTAGGATGCATGTCTAAGGATGGTAAAGAATTTTCATTCTGGTATTTTAATCTTTTGTCCCCTGTCATGGAACTGAAACTCAGGATTGATCACTCAAAGGGAACTGGAGCAGTGCATGGTGTGCACAAATATACTGCACAAGAGAAGCACTAAAGAGATTATCATAGAGATTTAAAACCAGAAAAGACGGTAAACTAGTCATGCACAGACAGCAAGTGAGGAGAAGCCATATACGACAGTGGCATCGACACAAGATCAAGAGAACAAGAGGAAGGCCTCTCATACAATGTCTGGACTCTCGAAGGTTTATGATAAAGCATGGCTTGGTTATAATCTGTCACAGATCCACAGAAGTATGGATTTTATTCCACTTTTATAAATAAGTACCAGCAAATGCCCAATAGTAATGATATTCAATACAGCACTAAGCACGTTTGCTTCTGAAATATTAAGTAGGATCAAAACCATTAAGACATCTCTAATGCAGCAACAGAGTCACTGAAACCAGCCAGTAAGAAAATGGTGCAAATGAACTGAAGCCATTAGACATAAACAAAGAGAGACTGATAAAAATAATACTGAGGGAATGGATTGCATTGCCTCTCTCATGTCTTGCCTTGGTATGTTAAAAGTATATAAACAATAAAAATAATATGAGAAAAAGTTAGCCCCAAACCTAGATCTTAGAGTAGAAGAATCATCCAAAAATGTCACAGCTAAGCTGTGAATATAAGAATACAATAATACTCTGTCCTCAACAGTAGTTATCTACACTAACGGGGAAAGAAGATATATTGAAAAGCACTTCATGATGAAATATGCCTCTCCAAGATCCTACTGGTGACAGAACAAATACTGCTGCTACTTACTAGGTTGCTTTGGCACTCCCTTGGACTGTGACAGTCAGGATAGGTATCCAGGTCCCTCTATATTCAAAAGCAGGTAGCACAGTCACACCTCCACCCATTCCCAACATTCCTGAGTTTGCTGGTGCTGAGGCTGGGCCACCAGAATTATTATTTCCTATGAAATAAGGAAGATTATTAACTTAACCTTCAATCCTCTTCTTATTTACAAGTAAGTAAAAGTACAGTCACTTCTTTATTATAATAAGTTCCTCTGGTGTTTGAAGCCCTTCACAATGTGTTCCCAACATACCTTTTCTAAATTATACATTATATATTATATGTAATTATGTACTATATATGTAATATATATATATCATATATAATTATACATTACTCCCTTTCTTGCTATCCTCATTCACAGCACTTCACAGCACTCCACAGCCTATCTACATGATTTTGCACATACTCCTTCCTCCCCCTCTGCCTCTCTGAATCCCCTTGTTTCCTTCAAAACTCTTCTCAAACAGCTTCAATGTGAAGCTTTTCCTGAATCCCCTCACATTACTGCCCTCCCCCTGCTTTTACACTGTATTTATTTTTTATCTTTTCTATATACTAGTTTAGGTAAATGTTTATCTCCTCTGACAGAATATAAGCTCCTTATATAGAAGGGTCATTTCACTTCTCTTTCTGTATTCTTGGTCACAGTTCCTATCACAGAATAGGCATTTAATAAATACTGATTGACTGACTGACTGTGTCGTAGTCCGTATGCAGGGAACATAGCTTTTTTGATGTAAAGAACAAAACTGAGAAGATTTCTGCCTACCAGGTTAAGAGAGTTTAAATAAATTAATGTGAAGTAACTAAAAAGGAAAAAAAGGCAAAAGAGCATTTACCAGCTTGATTTGTTGTAGCAGATGGAGTCCCTGTCGTTGGGACGAGAAACAATGACTGGATGAAGGATCCCAATGCATTCACAATGTCTCGGAAAACCTTAGTAGAATGTTGTTTCATGTCGTAAGATTGACAAAAGGACCTGCAAAATACTTTAAAATGTTTCTAAACAACAATATTTAGCTACAAATTATGCTAATAAACCAATCAAGATGTTATACATTAAAGTTCCTTAGCGCCAATCAAAAATAAAGATAAAATCTTATTCATCTGAGAATATTTCAAAGAGTTCATCATTCTAAACGAATCTGTCGTCACTTGCTCAGTCTTAAAAGAACCACCACCTTCCCCTCCCATTGAAAGCTTTCTCTCTACCTCTCTAATCCCACACATATAAAGTCTAACTTTGTTTGAAAAAATCCTTAACAATTTGGAAGAATTATTTCACTTTCTGACAACTGAAAGCTCTGTCTGTGCCTTTGAGGTCTTACCTTAACAACTGGGGCTGCACACAGAGCCTATGAATTGATTCCACTGCAACTGCTCTTAGCCACTGGGGCTTATCTGCATCCAGAAACTTCACTAAGAGTGAAAGAAATATCTCACATTCGGTTACCTAAAGGAAGAAACATTTAGAATATACAACACACCTCTTAGTTAATCAACTTGAAACCAGAATCTAACCACATTTTAAAATATACTCTACGACTAATTCAAGTTGATAAGGGGAAGTAGTCACTGAAAGTTGTGTTTAGAAATACTGAGTGAAAATTGTTTTAATAAGTATTTCACTTATTTCAGACACTGTATAAAAAATTCAGTGACCATTGACTTTCTATAAATGTTAATATGGATCCAGAGGACTAAATTTCCTACAGTTAACATTACAAAAATGAATTAGGTTTAAATTTACAAAGTATAGAAAGAGTGTGCCATAGGATGTTAAAATTTAGAATCAAGGTAAATATAAAGAGAATTATCAGGTGTCACTCACTTCCTATACAGGTCTTTCCCGCACTCCCCTCTACCCCCAACTGTTGTAGGATTCTCTCCCTCTTGAAATCACAAGGAATATATTTTGCGTTTACTCTTCTATGTAAGTATTATGTCCTGTAAGAAGAATGTAAGCTCTTTGAGGGAAGTGATTAATTTTTTTCTTTGTAAGCCTAGTACTTGATACACTACCAAACCCATGGTAGGTGCTTAATAAAAGTGTGTTGAATTTGATGTGTTGTAATCTGATGTATGCAAAATGTGCAATACTGTAAACAAATACTTTAATGAGACAAATGTGTTCTTATTTTAATTAATATAAGTGGAGCTATAAATTAGGGAGCTGTAGATCAAAGTTACATTCTGAAATTCATCTTGTTAAAAGGTATAGCAGAAAGAGTACTACTGGTTCTGGAGTCAGTGGACTTTGGAGTTCAAATGCCACTTCTGATGCTTCCTACCTGTGTGATCTTGGACAAATCAACTAACCTCTCTGAGCCTCAGATTCCTCATCTGTAAAATAAGAAGGCTGGGGTAGCTGGTCTCCGAGATCCCTTTTAGCTCTAGACCTAAGATCCTATGCTTTGTATGGTCACAAAGAACCCTCACTGTTTCTACAACAGGACAAAAAACAACAGCAAAACATTTGATTTTCAATTAAATCTACTGCTAAAAATGGTGCTAAAAAATGAAATGTTGAAGTAAACAGTGAACAGATCTGACTTTCTGACAATGATTTTAATTGTAATAATGAAACTGTAACCCTGAGGAAAAAGATGGAATTTATTCATTTAAAATTTGAAAAAAAAAAACGATATACTCATGTAGAGTAAGATAACTTAAGATAAAAAGATGACAGAAATAAAGCTCAAACAATAAGTTATTGGAATACCAAAAGAATCAATACCTTTCTATTAAAACAAAATGTGGCAAATCAATATATCCCTATATAGTAACATACTATCTAAAAAAAACCTATCACAAAAATAAATTTATTGAAAAAGCAGTGATATACAGAGGAAAGAACACTGGATTTAGAGTCGGAAGACCCAAGTTCAAATACTGGCTCTGCTATTTAGTGACTATGTGACCTTAAAAAGTCCCTAACTGGGGCAGGTAGGTGGTGCAGTGGATAGAGCACTAGCCCTGGAGTCAGGAGGACCTGAGTTCAAATCCGATCTCAGGTCAGATACTTGATACTAGCTGTGTGACCCTGGGCAAGTCACTTAACCCCAACTGCCTCACCCCCCCACCCCAAAAAGTCACTAACTTCTCTGGGCCTCATCTGTTAAATGAGGTGGTTGATGACATGACCTCTAAGGTCCTTTCTAGTTCTAATTCCATGCTCTTAAGGTCTTATTCCCAAGTAATTCAATATTATAGTATATAACATTCCTAAACTTACATAAATGAGATAAAAAAATATTGTAGGAAAATAGGATTTGATTTTAGAAAAGACCTTAGAAATCACCTGGTTCAACTTTTACTCTATTGACTGATGGAGAAACTAAGGACCAGTATTAGCTGTTACTTGATCAAGGTCACACAATTAACAGAGCCAGGATTCAAACCTAAATTTTCCTCTTATTTCAGATTTAGGGCTTGTTCCACTATATTTACTGCAATTCTCTCCCCAATCAATCCTCAAAGCTGAGAGGAGAAGTTACTCTGCATCACAGACCCTATCCACACATAATCTTTCACCATGCCCTGACCTGTTTCTGAGCTAGTCTGGACATAAAATATTGCAAGTGATAAAAAGCCAGAAGGCACCAACTCTCACAAGTGTTAGGGAGAAAGTGGGGCAGCTGGTAGAGGTCCTACATGCCACTAGAAAAAAACAAAGCAGCCCTCATGCCAACCATTTACACATGAGACATGGCATATTTTGTCAACTTCTAGTTTGTACCATACCAGGATCATCAACTTTCAAAACACAAGAATACAATAAATACATAACACCTGCCCCTCTCTAAAAATTGAAAATTGGAAATAGCCAGTATAATGTTTGCATTTGTGTATCAGTTTGCTGTGTGAATCTTGGAAAACTAGTTTTATTTGTACAGTCTCATTTTTTAAGACTGCGTGCCTTGGATATAGGATTTACAATAATTCAAAATATTGTTTCCATTCCGTTTTCTATGGATTTGCCACAAATGACATATCTTTACCTTTTCAAAAGTAGATGACAGTTCTATGTTAAAAAGTGTACTCATTACACACATAATAAATCTTGGCTTAAACAATGTAATGATATATCACATGACTTGCCTCAAAACATATAATTTAAATGTCTAACAATGAATTATAACTTTAATCATCTTTTAATCAAGAACATCACAATATATTCTATAACTAAGTTTCTTCTCTTTTTTTTTAATCCTTAGAAGATTATTCACCAGGTAAATTTTTCTGTCATGGTAACTCATGAAACTGCTTATATAAGAGTTGGGTGTGCATATGTTAAAATGAAAACATGTGGAATGGCTGTGTTCTGAGTCAGTACAGAATGCCCACACCAATGAGATCTCAATCTTTTGACATATTAAGTGATTTAATTTGTTATGAGGCAATGAATTTATGCAAATGAAATGTATAAAGAGAAATGGACTTTAGTTCTAGTCCTGGATTTCAAATTGAACTGTGTGATTTAGGATAAATTACAAACTCTTGGCTTCAGTGTATTCAACTGTAAGATTTTATATAAGTGAAAGAAGAAAAGCTATTTGTCTTTATTAGTCTTCAAGTGGGACACAGGGACAATTAACAGACATTAATGACACCGCCAATCTTGTGGTTCCTTCAGTCAGTGTCTTATTTCTTCACACAACAGAAATACTGTATAAACATAGACAAAATTAAAATATGGATAACCCACTTAAAAGCTGACTGACTTGAAAGCTAAGGTCTCTAATAGATAAATTTCTAAAAGTGAGCCATCCCATACACCTACACAAGAAACTTAACAAAGCAGTACTTACCAAAAGACTATAAAACTGCTTAATCAGAACTGAAACTACTCGCAGCAGACGCATACAAATGGGAAAATATGGTTTTTCAACTGGTGCAGGGGAAGATGAAGTACAGGAACCTTGTCTGAACTTAATATTTGGAGAGAAGAGCTTTATCACAAGTGGACATACCCTTTCTTTAAGAAGGAAACTAAATTCCTGGTGCTGTTAAAGAAAAAAACTTCAATTAACACTTAATAATTCTAAAGTAAAATCTTACTTTTTAGTCAGTAAAGCATTTTAAGGAACAACATTAGAAACTCATGTACATAATTCCTACCACCTTTCACAATAATTGTTAGACATTCTTCAGAGCTGTTTTTTCTTAAAGATCAAACAGTCTAAATGACAGGCAAAGATAAATTTGTACTAATGAAAGCATTAAAGACAATTAAATGAGAAAACCTGGTTATAGTAAGTATATCTTTTATTCTATTCTTCAGATCTGCGTGTAAATACACACACACACAGAAAAGATTTAATGATTGATTTTTCAGATTGATGCTATGGCTCAGGTATACCTAATTACTTAAGAACAAAACAAATAAATCTAAAAATAAAGTGATATGAGCATAGGTGGTCATGTATATAAAGTACTCGAATGCTGACTGGGCACTCGAAAAGATCTTCTTCCTCTATACAATTTTTTGTCCTAGTCTTAAACAATTTCAGTTTACTGATGACTTAAGACCTGTTTCTCTAAGCTAGTCACTCAAACAAGTCTTTTGTTTTAAGTTTGAATAATAAAAAATTGTATTCTGTTCCAATCACTACACTATTTAAACAGTGTTTATTTTTTTCATTTATTAGAGGCAACTAGGTGGTACAAAGGATAAGTACTGGACCAGGAGTCATGAAGTCCTGAGATCAAACCCAGCCTCAAACACTTACTTGTGTGACCCTGGGCAAGTCACAAAATCCCTCTCAGACTCAATTTCCTCAACTGTAAAGTGGGGATAATAACAGACCCTACATCCTAGGGTTGATATAAAGCTCCAGTGAGATAGTATTTTATTTGTAAGGTGCTTTGCAAATCTTAAAGTGCTATATAAATGCTAATTTTAATTATTTTTCATCCTACAATCATACATACTGAGTGAAATCAGGTCAATTTCCAAAATATTTCACAAAAAAGTCTTTTGGCATTCTAGAGGCAGCTAGGTAGCACAACAGACAGAGTGCTGGACCTAAATCAGGAAGACCTAAATTCAAATCTAGACTCAGGTAGTAGAGTGACCTTGAGCTTAACCTCTGTTTGCCTGCTTTCTCAATGGTAAAAGATAGCACCTACCTCCCAGGGTAGTTGTGAAGATCAAACAAGATAATATTTGTAAAGTGCTTAGTACAATGTCTGGCACATAGCAGGCACTCTATAAATGCTACATGTTATTATTATGGAGTGAAAATTAGCATAAATTGCAGGATTTTCTAATTCTTCCTCCTTACCACTTCAGAAGTCAAATAAAAAAGTGAGACTAAGCATCAGAAATTTATGAAAGTTTTGGTTGCAGAATTTAGCAGTTTGAAGAAAAGCAATTCTTGTTTGACAAAGTGTGCACCTAGGTGTCTGTTAGAATACTTCTAATTCCTTTTTAAAAAATATTATATGGATGAGTAGGACAAATTTTGCCTCAATTCAACTGAACGAAAATTTAAGTGTCTACTATACAAAAGGCACTGTGCTAGGCCTTAGGGATATATTGACAAAAATTAAACCATCCCTGAACTCAAGTAGCTTCAAAGAAAGCAGATAAATAAGGACTATTACATTACTTTAATACATTAGCAGTGGTTTACCTCTACCAGTAATGGAAAAGGAAAGATACAATATGTACACAAATGAGTAAATATAAGACAATTTGAGAAGGGGAAAAGCACCACCTGGGAAAAAATTATAAAAGGCTTACTGGAGGAGGTAACACCTGAGTTAAACCTTGAGGAAAATGAAGACTTTAAGAAGTAGAGGTGATAAAGGGGCACATTCCAGGAATGGATGAGAATCAGGTTTCATTAGACTTTGAGCTCCTTAGAAGCAGGGATTGTGGTTTGCTTTTCTTCGTATCCCAGCACCTAGTATAGTGCCTGGCACATAGTCAGCGCTTAATAAATGCTTACTGACTGGCAGACTGAATGAAGGTCAGTTTTAGGGAAACAGAATGCTGAGCTCAGGGAACAGCTAGTAGGTCAGTTTGGTGGACCATTAATGTATGAAAGAAAGTATCATCAAATAAGCCTGGAAAAGTAGTTGGGAGACATAATGTGGAGGACTTTAAATGCCAGTCTGAGGAGTTTGTATTTTATCTTAGGAGCAATAGGAAGCTGCTAAAGGTTCATGAGTAGGGGCAGTGTGGCAGAGAGAAGAAAGCGCAGGAAGACCTAGAGTCAAATTCCATTGCTGCTCCTGAGAGCCTATGCAAATCATTTCTCTTCTGAGCTTCCCAGGACTGTTAAAAGGCTCAATAAGGTAGCACGTGTAGAGCAACATGCAAACTGTAAACTGTTACAATAACAATGTCCATTATTATTTGCTGGGTTCGAGCCACAGCTCTACTACATTGGCCTCTTTTTATGGTCCCCCAAAACATAGCACGTTTTCTAACCCTACACATTCAGAGACACTGTTTCCTATCCCGGAAATGTACTCCTCCCTCTCTCTCTGCTGAATGAAATTCTGCTGGTACTTCAAAACATATACAAATCTTGGGCCTCAAACTAGAATGTGTGCTTATCTATGTATCTTCCTACTTGGAGCCTGGCACTGCAGATTATACAGAGCAGGCATTTAGTAAATGTTGAACAAGTTAATGATTTTTAAAAACACTAAAGAGATCAGAGAGCATCTTTAAGGAGCCACCTAGTAAAACAATTATATGATTTTACTAAACTAAAGAGAGTACAGTTCACAGACACTTACATTCTAAGTTTTTAAGGTTTGTATCTTGCAGCGTGTGTGTGTGTGTGGGGGGGGGGGGTGGTAGAGGCAGGGAACAGAATTGTTTTATGAAAAGATCACTACCAAACTAGATGTTTTGAAAGTCTTTGCAAAAGTGCAGTATTTTTTTTTCGTTCAGCCATTCCCCAACTGACGGGCATCCCCACAATTTCCAGTTTTTTGCCACCACAAAGAGAGCTGCTTTAAATGTTTTAGAACATGTAGGTTCATTTCCATTTTCCCTAATCTTTTTGGGAAACAGATCTAATAGTGGTATTGCTGGGTTAAAGGGTATAGGCAGTTTAATAACACTTTGGGCACAATTCCAAATCTCTCTCAAAAATGGTTGGATCAGCTCACAAATCCATCAACAATGACTTAAGGTCTCAATTTTTCCAAATCCCCTCCAATATTTGTCACTTTCCCCTTCTATCATTTCAGCCAATCTAACAGGTGTAACATGATATCTCAAGGTTGTTTTAATTTACATTTCTCTAATCATTCTCTAATCATAACGATTAAGAGCATTTTTCTTATGACTATAAATTGTTTTGATTTCTTAATTGGAGAATAGCCTGTTCATATTCTTTGACCATTTATCAACTAGAGAATGACTCACATTCTTACAGATTTGACAAAGTTCTTTATGTATTTGAGATATGAGACCTTTATCTGAGGAACTGTCTATAAAAATGTTTTCCCAGCTTTCTGCTTTCTTTCACATCTTGGCTACATTTGTTTTATCTGTACAAAATCTTTTTAATTTATTTAATCAAAATTATCCATTTTACAACTCACAACACTATATCTTGTTTGTTCATAAATTGTTCATCTATCCCTAAGTCTGATAGGTAATATGTTCCATGGTCTTCAGATTTTCTTATAATATCTCACCTTTATATCTAGGTCATGTATCCATTTTGACCTTATCTTGGTAAATGATGTAAGATATTGGTCTATGCCCAATTTCTTGCCAATATGCCAAACTGCTTTCCAGCTTTCCTAACAATTTTTATTTACCAAATGATAAATTCTTATCCCAAAAACTTAAGTCTAATTTACACTTGTCAAACAAAGCTGTTCATGATGAAACATTACTATAAGAAATGATGAGCTCAATGATTTTAGAAAAGTATGGAGAGAACTCTATGAAATAATGAAGAGTGAAATGAGCAGAACCAAGAGAACACTGAATACAGTAACAGCAGTACTGTTTTAAGAACAACTCTGAGCAACTAAGTCATTCTGACTACTATAATTATCCAGATTAACCTCAAAGATTCTATAAAGGATGATGCTGTTTGAATCCAGAAAGGAATATAATTGTTGTGGTGTAGTAAATGATGAGCTGGTTGATTTAAAAAAACATGGAAATATTTGGACTCATGAAGGAAGATGCTATCCACCTTCAAAGAAACAGATGATAGGAGGGAATAAGCATAGTATGGTCTTACATATACATGTATGAGTGTATACACGTAAATATGTCTATGTTTATTGATATCCATATATGCATATATATCCACACTTAAATATAGTATTCTTTAGGGTTGAGATGTGGGAGGGAATAAAGGAAAAAAGTTCAAAGCAGAGAAGAAAAAAAAACCAAAACAAGGAAGAAAAGCTGGGCAGTTTTGAAAATAATATGTAATAGTTATTATATAGGTTTTCTTGAAATGGAAATTTATTGTTTTACACTGAATCCTCTCTTAAGGTCTGCTATGAATATAGCAATGTTTTTTTTCTTTTCTCATTTTGTACTTAAATGTAAAATAAAAAGAATTTTAAAGAAAAAAAAATTCAAGTGTAGTATTAATGATGAAGAAATTTTATTCCATAATTTTAAACTAGTCTATTAAATATTTTAATATTTTTTAAAGACAGGAGACAAATAAAGATTACTTCATTGCTTAAGTAAATTTGAAATGGCTTACTTGTAAAAACACCTGGGGAAAATCATTCAAGACTGACTCTAGTAGTTCAAGGCCAAAAGTTCGAGTCATTTCTGTCATTCCTACTAGCCAATATGGAGCATCAGCATTAACCAACTGACATAGATCCTGAGAAAACAAATGCAACAAAAATGAGTGGGACAAAAAGAAAAATTTTAGGTCACATACATTTAATTAAATTAAACAAAAAATAATTCCCTTTTATGTAACTCATTTTTTCCTGCTAAGAGATAAAAGTAGAATCCCATCTTTAAAAATAAGTAATATTTTCTGAAAGGCATAACTTAATGAGTATGTACATTACAGATAAGAAATCTGAGAATTCCAAAAAATTTTCTTAAGATTCATGTAATCATTGCCAATATATAATTATTATTTATAAGCATCTAGTTAGTTTGTCATTCTTTCCAGTTAACACAAATAAAAGACTTAATGCAAGTATATCTTGTGTAACACTCAAAACAAATAACACCAGACTTGGAGAGGGAAAAAGCCATCTGGCCTCATAGACAAAGTTCTGGACTTGCTGTAAAGAAAAAAGACCTAAGTTCAGTGAGCAGAACCAGGAGAACATTGTACACAGCAACAGCCACACTGTGCAATAACTAACTTTGACAGACTTAGCCCTTCTCTGCAATGCAAGGATTTAAGACATCTCCAAAAGTCTCATGATGGAAAATGCTATCCACATCTTGAGAAAGAATATGGAGTTTGAATGCAGATTGAAGCATGCTATTTGCCATTTTTTTCCTTCAGTTTTGTTTTGTTTCCTCTTTCTTGTGGTTCCTCCTATTGGTTCTAATTCTTCCTTACAACATGACTAATGTGAAAATATGTTTAATAGGAATGTATATGTAAAGCCTATATCAGATGGCATGCCGTTTTGGAGAGGGAGGGGGAGAAAAATTTTAAACTCAAAAGCTTATGGAAGTGATTGTTGATAAATCAAAATAAATTACTAAAAAATTAAAAAAAAAAAAAAAAAAGAAGACGACGACGACCTAGGTTCAAGTAGTGCCTATGACACTTAATAGCAATATGATTATGGGAAAGTACCTTACCAACTGATTCTTAGTTTCCTTATAAATAAAATGAGGTCAGTGATACCTGTAGTTCTTCCTTCAGAGGGTTATTGTGATATAAAAATGAGACAACAAATATAAGGTATATTCTAAATTCAAAATAGCCATGTAAATGTTACTCATTTTTATTGGGCCAGAGAAATTTGGGGTTTGAATCTTACTCTACCCCTATCTGTGTCACCCTGAGCCTATTTCCCTCATCTGCAAAATATGGATAATAACACCTTCAATTTCACAGAGTTGTTGTGATGATCAAATGAGTTAAGTCAAATAAAGCACTCTGCAAACAAAATGCTATGTAAGCTTAAGTTATTATCATTATTATTCCTAAAGAGATGCAAATAAAATATCAAATATTTTAAATGTACCAAAATAGTGCACACTAAATTTAATCCTTTTGGAATGAAATTAAGTATCTCCTGATTGATCTTTCATATGTTCTGACTTAATCCAATTCCCTTAAAGGAAGGAATATCTATATTTTCACATGTGAATTTTGTGATATAAAATGAGTATATCATTAAAACGATATAAAATGAAAATAGCTCTATTCTCTTCCTCATATTTAGTTTTGTCTATTTGCAAAGTCAATCTAAGCTATATGTACTGATGGACTAATTTAATAAGCAGCTAACTGCATGTTTGCATTTCTAAGACTGAATAATAAACATGTTGTATGCATGTGTGTATGCGAGTTAATCTCAGAAAAGAAGGTAGCAGCAGCTGGAACAACAGGAAAAGTTTCCTGCAGGTGAGATCTGAGCTGAATCTTGAAGTAAATTAGGGAAACTAAAAGTCAAGGGTGAGGGGATCACCACATTCCAGGGATGGTCTAAGACATCTAGTACAAAAGTTTCTTCATTTATAAAATGAAGTGATAATACTGACTAGATAGATGTACCCTGCAAGGTTATTATAAGAAAAGCATTCAATAAACGTAAAACATTATGTTAATGTTACTACTCTCCAGTCTTTAATTTTAAAACTCAAATATCACTTAACAGATTCAGATTGCTAAATTATATTTCCATTGTAAATAGTAAGAACTCCTTCCTCTTTGACCCATTTTTTTAAAAATACTTTTTCTAATGAGAAAAATGAAACTAGACTTAAAGCTCCAAAGAGCACTAAGAAAAATAACATAAAGTGATAAAAGCAATTTCTATCATACAAATACCTGAAAGAGCATGTATGCATCTTTTGCACAGGGCTTCAGAGTACTCACAGAACGCCTATTACTGTTTCCTTGAACCAGGACTGGCTGCTCCACAACATCTGTAATCAAAACATGATGCGTTATGTGAATTCACAACAACTGGATAGCAAATCACGTGCCCTTAGACAGAGGGAAGAGAGCCTGACCAAGAAACATTTCCTTATAGGATATCTTCTTAATTTATTTTCATTGTAATTTCAGAGATATTCCTCTCAAAAAAACAAAAAAAGACAACATGAATTGTTTGCAATAGAATTCGCTTGTAAGGATCCTAACAAAGAAGATTCTATTTTGGTCAATAAATGGAAGGTTCTCACAGTCCTAACAAGAAAAGACTCAAATGGACAGTCATTCTACTTGGTTTCTGAATATTAATTTAAATGAAGTAGAAATGTATTAAGTTTACTACACAATTAATTCCCATTTCTGTGAGCATTCTTGCCAATTCCCAAGGAGTTAATGATTCATCAGTTACTCAAGTGACATCTCTGATACAAGTCCATTTTTTAATATTACATTAGAAGGTCTCAAAAGGTACAGATTAAGATTCCCTGCAGAACTTTTCTATTTTATACAAATACACAAAACATATAAATCATATAGTTATCTTGGGTTTTTTTTTCTGAACATGACCCAAATAACTATATAGGATATACTAATTAGAATTAAATCTTAAAATAAATTAATATTGCCATCTTATGGAACTTCATATTTTTTCAGGAAAGGTAATAAAAATCAAATATGCCAAATTTAATAGGAATATTGCTTTAATAAAACAATCAGAAAGCCCAAAAACAAAATCTAAACCCAAAGAGATCTGTTCAGTAGCTAAAAGTTTTCTTCAGGAAAAGTGACGCTCATTTCTCTAACAAGTGTCCCTATCATTGGTCACCAATATAACCTTCCCCCAAAAAAAGACCACTAAGACAAAAATGCATAAAAAATGGAAAGCAACTGAGAATAAGACAAATTCTACATAGGGAAAGATTTTACTTAGTCCATCATTTATTAACTCTATAAAGAAGAAAAAAATTAATGATCTGAGCAATAAATAATCTTTTGAACCAATCTATTCCATTGAAAAATAAACCTGATGTCACTTAGTAACAAATTTCTTTCAATTAACCAAGATGAAGGGATATATAAATTTCAATCTACAGAAAAACACATATATTTTTTAAAAGCATTCTGTTGTTAATATATCCCAAAAAACAAAACATCAATCATCAATAACTGATGGGAAACCATAGTAATAAGAACTTATCTAACCACAAGAGAAAAGGACATAACTCAAATTTACCTTTATGTCGTTCATCCTCAGCAACCATCCTCTCGAATACAACAGTAACAACTTGTCGTACAGTAGCAGCAGCTGTATTATTTGTAATATTATCTTTTGTAAAGTGCAGCCGAAAACAAAGAACAATTGCCTGAAAAAGCAATTTTTGGCTAATGAAAATAAAATTTAACACTATCTACCCATTTTCTTTTTTTTTTCTAGTAACAGAAAATGAAGTAATTTCTGCTTTTATGCAAGCAGAGACATTTGGCAAACTTTATTGTTAACACAAGTCTAGGATAAAGACAATACCTTTATTACAGAGTGAGAGGGATGTTCTCTATGAATGTGTGTGTGTGTGTACATATGTATGTGTGTGTGTGCATAAAATAACATACTATTTACAGGGATACAATGCTCCACAAGAAAGCTTCTTCATAAAAATGTGAATAATCAACTCAATGACATAATGTTCTAGAAAACCAAACATTCAACTGGCTAGGGTAGAGAAAAGAGATGGGAGGGAAGACACTGATTAAGGCTAGGAGAAGGAACATCTGTGGTGGCATAGCGGCTTCTAGGGGTTAAAGGAAAACCAGCAATAAGAGAAAAGACCCTCCTATTCCCAGCATCCCTTAGACCAAGACTTATTAAACTTTTTTCCACTTGGCAGCTTTCACTGGTGTTGCATGGCCCGAGGGCACATGCAGTGCAAAGTGTGCATGCTTTGTACTCAGAAGCAAGGCTGCAGTGAAGTTGCCCCCACAGGCACTGCCAGAAATACCTCAGATTCATTACAGGTTTGATTTTTAATGAAGTTTAGAGCAAAAGATATGGCAGGGAAGAGAGTCTTCCACTCCTACCCTCTGAACATAAAAGGTCCCTTCCTATCTACTATGTAAGCACATGCTCACATGTTATCTCCTCCATTAGAATGTAAGATCCTTGGGGGTAAGGATTGTTTCAATTTTGTCTTTATATACCCCACACACAGAACAGTGCCTGATATGTAATATACATTTAATGAATGCTGACTGACTGATGATATGGTAGTTTTATTTTCAGGCTAGTGATTTCAAGAACCTCACCCCTGCCTAGCCACAAAAAGATTTCCCTCACCTGCTTGCTGATATATGAAACAGCCCACAGGCTCACATTCAAAATTATAAGGCACCTCAGAAATCAGAGTCCAACTCTGAGGTTAAGTTACTTAAACAATGTCACACAGGTAGTTGCCAAAGCTTTTCATTCCACAATTAGTAATAAAAGAAATTGCCCTCATTAAAGTTCATTTACTTGTACTAACAAGTATTTGTCTATCATATGACTGATTTCAGATGCCTCCTAATGTAAGTAGTGGAAAGGTAAAAAAGTGAGTAAGAGCAAGGAAGGGGTAGCCCTTGGGAAAGGAAAGGATTTCAAAAGACTAAGATGAGGAGAGAAACATAAAGGACAGTGCCACATCTGGAAAATGAGGTGGCTGGTCCTTCCAGCTCTATGGAGCTAATATCAATGATCTAATATCAGGAACAGCTAGCAATTCCTGTCTGGTCAGAGTAAGAGCATGTGAAGGGAAGCAGTATGAAATATAAACAGAAAAGTAAATTGGAACTCAATTGTGGAAGAACATAATGACAGATGAAATAATTTCAATTTATCCTAAAGGGAGATAAAAGGGACCACTGAAGGATTCTGAAGATGATGACAAAGATTTGGGAATAATTTGTATAAAAGTGGTGAGTGAAGCCATGAGTAGGGCTGAGATAGCCAAGGTGGGCAGAGACCAACAGAGACAGACAGAGACAGACAGACAGAGATGAGAAAAGGCCTGACAGAGCTTTAAGATACGCATAATTAAGGTCCCAAAGGAAGAAAATTAACTAATGGAGATCAAGGAGAAATGGTCAGATAGGTAAAAAGAGAGCTAGAAAAAAAAACAGTTTAACTCAAATAAAAAAGAAACACATTTAAGATTATGACTAGCTATCCTTTCGTTTTATAGTTTTAAGATGAGAAGGGGTATAAGAAAAATACTATAAAATGTCCTTTCATAACAACAGTGCTAAAAGGACAAAACTGATATCTACCTCACGATATTAGGCTTTAACTGTATGTGATAAACCTTTAGAAAAAACAATAGACCAACAGCCAGTGTGGATCTAGGTACTGGGACAGGTGTAACGATAGAGTTCTACTGTAGGTAAGAAGATGCAGAAAATAGGTTCTTCCCAAAATGTAAAACACTGATTTAAAATTTTCAAAGTAAAATCTTTTTTAGTAGAACATCACTGTTTTCATAACAAAAACTACACATATCTATATAGTAGTTGCTGGCTTCATTTTGGTAAGCAGTATCTCCACATGCAAACTATAATCCATGCTATTTTGAGTTCAAATCCCTCCTCGTACACTTACTAGCTGTATGACCATGGGCAAGTCATATAAACTCTCAGCTTCAGAATTCCCAGCTGCAAATTAGGGATGATAATGATACCTGTAGCAGATGTAGATAAGTAGACCTCACAAGGTTACTGTATCAGTTAATAATAGCAATTTGCACATTTTAAACTATGCTGTAAATATCAGTTGTTACTAAAAAATTTTAATGAAAAAGTCATTTTTAAGAAAAATATATAATATTGCATAGCTCATTAATTATTTTAAATTATGGTAAGATAAAACATAACCTATGCCTTAGATCTGACAGCTGCCCTAAGTTCATTTACGGTAAAACTCAGGGCAAAAAAGGTTGCAGACCCCTGGGTCTACTCTGTGATCACTAGCCAAAACAACGTCCACACTAAAGTGGCATTTAATTCCAATAAATGCAGCTCTTTCTCCTGAAATTGGCTTGAATTAAACAGACTGTGTCACAGAAACAATTCAATGGGGCAGAAAAGAGTTCCTACCTTAGAGAGCGCTTCATCATGAACCACAGTATTGGTTGTTAAAAGAACAAGAACTGTTTGAAGTAGCTTTAGTTCTTCAAGGCTATTTTCCATCAGCTGCCAAAGCATGTTAATGATGTTCCCTGCTGCAGTCTGTAAAATAGTATATTATGTCAATTGTTATCAATGAAATAAAATACATCTGTTTAAGCCATACGCAAAACACTGAATGATATGAGCTACAGACTGTAAAGGATTTTAAACAATCATTTAGTCTTTTTATAGGATGATGAAACAGAGGCCCCTGGAAGTTAAGTGACCTGCTCACAGTCACTCACGTAATGAGCAGCAGACTGAGATGTGAACCTAGGTACCCTGTCTCCTAATATTTACATTACCAAAAAATCTTCAAGTAAAGAGAAAGTTCACAAATAGTTCCTCTCCCTGAGAAGAGCTATTATTGTGATTATCACACTAGTTAATGAAAAGTCAGCACAGAATAGGAGAAAGAAGGCTGGACTTGGAGTCCAGAAGATCGTGGGTTCAAGTATTGCCTCAGACAGTAAATAATAACAAGATGACTCTGAGTAACAACACTTCTCTGCAGAGCCAGCGTTACTCTCCTACATACTAAATTATAAAGCAGTTACCAATTTGCATCAGTGGAGGGAGATTCTATACCAGGAGCTTCCAATATTAATAAAATGTTTCACTACTATCATAGTGATTTCAGACAGATATCACATATCTAAGATATCAGAAGGGAATATCTTCTCACCCCCAAAGAAATACACACAAAATGGCTAATATCATTCATTCCTATGTCATTGCATCCTTTCTCCTATATGTCAATTAGTTTTGGAAAGGCTTAAATTTTCTCTCAAAAAATATTTAAGTAGCACCGACTTCTCCTAAGTATGGCTTCTCATATCTGGACATGTTCAAATACGAACAAGGAGTTATAGAAATACCTAGTCAAGAACAAGCAGTTGATTATAATGATTACTTTTTCTTCAAATGTTGGCCAAATTTCCCTTTTCTGCTATTCTTTCCTCTTTATCTCTATAACTAATTCCCCAATACAACTTGACTCTTCTATTAATGTAGTTTTGTAAATAAATATGGGTGTACTTAAGTTAACTAGTTTTACATCTTGGTTACTTTGTTTACATCATTTCAACATTTTTCCTTAATATGCGTCAATACTTCAGGAATTTATAACTTCACAGGTATGGGTATACTCTCCATCAAAATAAAGAGCATGAGTTGCTATGGCCAATTTAAAAAAATTACTTTTCAATGTATGCTACACTGTCAAGCTACACATAAGCTACACCAAAAGGGTCTACACATATATGAAATGAATTAGAATTGCTACTGTTCAGCAAAAAGTATTTGGTCTATGGAATATGTTGCTTCCAAAAGCTTAACTGGTATCCCTCAGAGATTTAAGATACTCATGGAAGTCTGAAAGACAGGCATTGAATACACTTGAATTATATCAGGTTTCACATAGGAAAACTATTGTTATGTAGCTCTAAAAACATAAAAGCAAATAATTTTATATAGTCTAAATTCATCAAGTCCTTTTCTTCCCTTTAAACAAACTATTTGGACTCGGGTATACCTATATTATTTACAAATCTTTTCAAAGCAATTAATTTTGGGAAATAACAATGTGTATGATAAAACTAAATATTTACTCTTTGATTATAAAAATTCTAATCTAGTTTATAGAACCTTGATATATAAGATCATAAATTCCCTGAGTAGAGAAAGATATAATCTTTAACACATACAAAACAATGTGTATCTTATACATATATCACAGATATATTTAATACATATAAACCAATCATATATACTATATTGGATGAAATAAATTTTTATTGCCTTTCTGACAGTAATATAGCAATTTCCCTGATTTTAAATCTCTTCATTAAATTAGTAAGTAACCCGAACAAAAATCAAGCATGTTTTCTTTCCCACTTATGAAAATCCACATTATTCTATTCCAAGGAAAAATGTGCAGATATTACACCTCTCTTACCTCAGAAACAACTTCATGTGACATAAGCCTCTGAATGGCTGCTAGACACAGCTGAGTGATCTTTGGTTCCTTGGTTCCACATCCCATCAGGAAAGGCTGAACAACCTCTGAGCTGTTCTCTTTTAAGGCTTTAGAATACATATAAAGTAAATTAGTAAACAATTCATAATTCTGAACAGATTTACTCAATGATTAGTAGCAGTGATACCTCTAATTAAAATAATTTCTTAAAAATAAAATGCCAAATAACTAAATTACAGCTCATGAAAGTGATAAGAATATTGTACTTGAAATCAAGAGGTCTAGATTTAAATTCTCAGTTTTGCTGTGTGACCCTGCACAATTTAACCTCTTTGCGACTCAGTTTCCTCACCTGAATGGACTGCATGAAAGGAACTTTAAGGTCCTTTCCAGCCCTAAAATATGCTGATTCAATGAAAATTAAAAACCAGTAGTAGTAAGAGCAGTAGAATCTGAGAGAAAGCACTGGGATTTTCCACTCATTGCCCACATTAATTCTAAACCTTCTAAAATGTCATGCCCCCCCTTCCTTTTGAGGAGCACTCTATTTCCTACGCTTCTTAATGCAGAGAGGAGACCATAAATAAAGTCATAATTTTAGGATATAAAACAAGATTCAAATAGAAGTAAAAAAAAAACAAAACACACTTGAGACTTCATAATCATTATCAAATTAGTGAAATAAATATTGTATACCTCTCCAGTCATAATATTAATATTATGCTTACAAAGCATAGTATCACTTAAGAACTAAATACACATCATATATCACAACGCAAAAAGAAGCATCTAAAATACAAAGAAAATAACCTTTAAAGAGTAATTCAGTAATAGAGAGATAGGATACAAGTGCTGTAACCAAAAAATTCACAAGTGACATGTTCAGAAACCATCTAAGTAAAAAGCAATTTAATCTGGATGGGACTTGGGCCAGTCAGGGAAGGAAGAGAAATATAAAACATTTTACTTATCTGCTTTTAAAATTATGAACCAGGAATTTAAAATTTTATTTTAAAAATAATCAATATATTTCATAATAATCAATATACTTAAAAAATAATCAACAATCAAAATATTTCAGTTCTATTTCATGGTTGTTTGAGGGGGATGGATATGAAAATAAAGTGGGGGTAGGCAGACAAACATAGAAAGACAAAAACATGAAGGGAAAAACAGAAAACACCACAGAATTTGGAGTCAAAGGACATGAGTTCTAATGCTGGTTCTGCTATTTATGACTGTAGAAGTCTGAACAAGTCCCTTAACCTCTTTGGAATTCAGTTTCCATATTCGTGAGAAAGGACTGAGCCAGATGCTTTATTAGGTAATCTTCTAGCTCTAAACCCTATAAAACAAAACTTATTTCTATAAAGTGAATCATATTTGAAATGTTCATCAAATGAATTTATCTGAATCTCCCTTTAAAGGTGGCCTATAATGAAAGATTTTGTTAAGTAAAAAGTCCTCTTTAAGAAGAACTGCAAACTATCAATCATGTTAAAGATTGTTCCAGATCAATAGGAGAAATATAGCCCAAGACTTTATGTCATATACCTTAATGAACTCAAAATAGATGCATGAACTAAATACCAAAGATCATAGGGATAAGGACAGAGACAGACTTATGATTTCATTGGTACAGGAAATTCTCTACTGAGGAAACTCTCACCTGCACCTTTTCTGTAACTTACAGTTTCAAAAAGCTGCCTAGAACACTGAGAGATTAAATGACTTAACTCAGGTTAAACAGCCACTATGTGTCAAACTAGAATCCAGGTTTTTCTAAACAGCTCTACTACTGCCACCACACTCCATGCTCTCTAACATACTAAAGATTATTTCATACAAATCAGAAAAGAACCAGATCAACTACATTCCACAGCTGCGGCTGGAGACATTCTTGGCCACGGCAACACTGTGATTACATGAAATTGAAAAGTTTCTGCACAAATAAACAAATAAGGATGAGAAGGAATCTATGGAATAGCAAACATCTTTATATCAAATATCTCTGTTAGGAAACTGATATCCAAGATACATGGACAGCTGAAAGATTTAAGAACAAAAGCCACTCATTCCCCAAGAGGTCAAAGAATGTAAAACAACAATTCTCAAAAAGAAGAATATTAAACTATTAACAATCATCTGAAAGACTGCTTCAAATCACTAATAATAAGAGAAATGCAAATAAAACCCTGGACTTTCAACTTCATAATAAAAAAAAATGATAAAAGACTGTAATATTCTGTGTTGAAGATATTATGGAAAATTAGAGACATTAATACGTTGTTGGTGGAGCTATGAATTGGTCTAAATATTCAATTAAGTATTTTGTAATTATGAAAAGAAAGTAACTAAAATAATCATACCCTTTGACCCAGAGATCCCAATACTAGGTTTATACCTCAAGGAGGCCAATGACAAAAAGAAAAGACCCAGGTATAACAAAATATTTATCACAGGGCTTTTTGTGGGAGCAAAGAAGTGGAAACTAAGATACCCACTAATTAGAAAATGGCTAAACAAACTGTCATTCATAAATGTAAATGTTTATTATTGTGCTATAAGAAATAAAAAGGATAAATGCAGAGAAGTATGGAAAGATGTATATGAATGATATAAAATGAAATAAGCAGTACCAAGAAAACCACATTTAAAAATCATCATCATCATCGTTACCATCTCATTTTATCCTCAAAACCACCTTGGGAGACAAGTGCTATCTTCATCCCCATTTTAAAGATGGGGAAACTGAAATCAAGCAGAAGGTAAGTGACATACACAATGTCATACAGCTAGTGAATATTTAAGGATGGATTTAAACTCAGGTCTTCCTGACACCAGCACTATCCACAGCACCACCTAGCTACACACACACACACACACACACACACACACTCTCTCTCTCTCTCTCTCTCTCTCTGTGTCTCTCTCTCTCTCTCTGTGTCTCTCTCTCTCTGTCTCTCTCTCTCCCCCCACCCCCCCAACAATATAAAATGAAACAACAAAACAATCCAAATGGAATGCTGAGAAATAATAACGACCTAAAGAAAATTTAAGAAAGCACCTCCCTTGCCTTTAAAGACATAAAAGACTATGGGCATGGAATACTGCATAAAATGTTAGATCTTTTACCATCATATTGGTTAGTTTTGGTGAACTGCTTTTCCTCTCTTCTTTTTATTCTTTGTTTTAAGGAATGGCTCTCTGGGAGGGGCAGAGGTAAAGGATACATTGGGAAATGCAGGTGATATAAAAACAAAGATTTCGATAAAAATTTATTTAAAAAATAAAATGTCCATAATCCTTTGACCCAGAGATCTCACTACTAGGTACATACCCCAAATCAAAGATAGAAAGTGCCAACACATGCCAAAAACTTCACAGCAGCACTTTCTGTTAAAGCAAAGAACTGGAAACAAGAAACCCACTGACTGAGTAAATGACTAAACAAATGGTAGTACATAAATGTAATGGAATATTATTGGGTCACAAAAACAGTAACACAGTGAAGAATGAGAAGATTTATATGAAAAGATGCAAAGATAACCAGGAAAACAATTTACACAATGACCACACCAATGTAAAGTGAAAGAACAACAATAATAACCAAACACAATATGTGATTATAATAATAAAGCCTTGTAGAAGACAGGAGAAAATTTATTCCCCCTTCCTTTTTTGTAGAAGTGGTATACTATGGGTGTGGAACATTGTATATACTTGTCAGACTAGGCTGATATGTTCATCAGTTTTGCTAATGTGCTCTTTACCATTCTTTTTTATTATTTGTTACAAGAAATAATTCTTTAGGGAGGGAAGAAGGGAAGAATATATTTGGAAATGACAATGATATAAAAACAAACACAAGAACAATTAAAAAAAAACAATCTTCAGTTATCACTTCAATATGTTTAAGATTTCATATGTTTTTCTTAAAGCAAGGGTACTCTACACCTTACTAAAGATACTGATTTTAACTTTTGCTAATGGACTGGCTTTACAAAAACTCCTATGGAAAAGCAAAAATGTAATATATTGAAACATATTACATAAATAATGCACTGTATTTAAAATAAGGTATTTACATTTTATCTAACATGTTTTTTTTCTTTTCTTTTCTTTTTTATTTTTAGGCAGTTGGAGTTAAGTGACTTGCCCAGGGTCACACAGCTAGTAAGTGGCAAGTGTTTGGTCAGAGGCCAGATTTGAACTCAAGTCCTTCTGATTTCAGGGCCAGTGCTCTATCCACCATGCCACCTAGCTGCCCCTAACATGTTTTTTCATAATGATTAAATGGAACTTCACTAATCTATCAGTTAAACAATCATGAACAAAAGATGGGAGACATGAGAGTTGTTTTTAAACAGCCATTTTCAAAAAAGAAAACAGTAAATGAAACATCCTATATTACACATAAAGGATTCACAAAACATCTGTCTATGTTTCCAAAAAAACTGGTTGTAAAGCATCCACAACAGGAAATAACCAGACCCGACTCTACCACTAACATTTATATGACCCTACACAAGAAAGCTTCTTTGAGATTTAGTTTCCTCATCTCCAAGGGCTGAACTTTATGATCTATGTTCTCTTCCCAATTTAGCATTCTATGAGTCTGTACATTCCATGGTGTTTCCTAGCAAACTCTTAATCTAGGAGATGCGAAGCATCATAAAGGAGCAGTTTTCCAAAGCTGAGCTAGGTTGGAGCTTTGCCCTACTTCCCAAGTTCCTTTGTCTCAGGATCACAATCCACATTACAAGATTTTCCATGTTAACACTTCAATGCAAAGCTGAAACAAATTTAAAAGTGTGAAATTAAAGAGGTTATTGTTAAGACCTATTAAACTATGAGTATCATAATTAATTACAAGTATCACAATTCACTTCACAATGTTTCTTTCATAATTATCATGACTTTCGGATGATAATAGCTACCACCCATATAGTACTTTAAGGATTGCAAAGTGGTTTACATGTTATGTCATTTGATCCTCACAACAACCCTGAAAGGTAAGTACTACTACTACCTTCATTTTTACAAATGAGGAAACTGAGACACAGAGAGCTTAACCAGCTTAAGTGACTTGACCAAGGTCACACAG